AGTATGTTAAATATAATAACTTAAATAAATAACTTTCAATTAATGCATTTTTTTCACGTTTTATTTAATTATTTGTTAATGTATTATAATTAAATAATCAAATACAAAATTAAGACTTTCTCAACGAGCTTACTAATAGATTTGTAGACTTTCCTGTTTTCCAATAACTATCATCATTCAGAAATACACTTAGATATTGTCAATTTGTATTAGTTTTTCTTCAAAATTAGTTTAACTGATGTCTAATATAATTTTGATATATATATATTACAATGTTATTTAATGACTGAAATATGTTTAATTTTATTTAATTACTAATTACTAAATATGCAAATCAGCAGTACAACTGCCACAATTCTTATGTAATAAGATAATTAATAAACTCAAAGTTAATTGGAAATTTAATTTCCCATTAAAAAAACTTATGAAAAGTTAAGAATTACAAAAAAAAATCTGAATTTAAAGTTGTATTTTGGAAGATGTTTAAATGTGTTTTTGATTATTGATGAAAGGATGTGGAAGCGGTTTCACTTTCGGTCGCAACGTGCAGCAAACCAGCAAAAATCGTAAATATTAAAACGTTAAAAGAAAGCGACGTTTATGCCGGACATTAAATATTGCCGCAAAAATTAATTCTGCCCTGTATCAATAATGATAATACCGAACACCCCAACACGAATTCCATACAGCTGCAACTCAATACCGATCGTAAATCAACGATGTGTGCAGTACGCAACACACAATTCCCTGCTCGCATCTTACCTTTATTGATTTATTTATTACCGCGATATCATTCAATTACATCCATTCCAACCTGTTATCGAGCTTCAAGATTTTACTCATTTAAATTAATTTTCATTTACAAATTAATTACATTTACACAACAGACATGTCTTATCGCTATCAAGCAATTATTACTTTATTTATTTTTTTGTTTGTATACACGTACAGACATGGAATAATTCGATAATTAATTAAGCTTTTTCTTACAAATAAAAAAAGTCTTTTTTTACTTAATTTTTCTATCTTAAGACATACAATAAAATATATAAATTTAAATAATAGAAATACTTTCACAAGTTTGCAAATATTTATAATTAATATACGAATATTTAAAACTAGTAAGATTTTTTTTCTTCATAACTATCTTAATATAGACTAATATAGAAATCTTGTGGGCAGAGATATAATTACTAATTAAATTATTTTTTTTTTGATTTATTATTGCGTATACGTGTAATTTATTTCTTAACAACTGTTTTTAGATGTAGAATATTATGTAAATGAAAGTACTGATATATCATAAAATTGTTAATGTAATTGCACGTATTTTTATTTTTTCGGACTCGATGTTCGTATGGGTTTCGTGAAATGATGGGGAGGCAAGGTAATAATTCATAAATTATAGTGATGTATACCGTTGGGTTCCGATGATTATCGAAGGTTAAGTAAATATCAATCATAACAGAAAATCGGTGAGCGGCCTTTCGATGCCTATCCTATCCTGTCCGTCTCTCTGTCATCGAGGGGGAAGCACATAAATAATTCAGTTATTGAAATGTCCACTACTAAAACGGCTACTGGGTGGCTTCATTACCTAACCAACAGTTCCGAAACCTCAGCCTTTCTTTCTCTATACCACGGATAAATTACCGAAATTATGACCGGCGATGCAATTAAAAAAATAATAAATCAGCAGTAATTAATCGTCCCGACAAAGTGCAATGTCATAATACCACTCTCACCGTTGATTCACCTTTCATCATTCTTTTGACCTTCGATAATTTATAACTTTTTTTTAGTTATCAATGCAATTCTTCGCTCATTTAACGTACATTCGATAATACGATCGAACCAACGTACAAATACAAGAAAAGCAATGTCTATCAAACCTAGACTTGCATTTGAGCATGATTGAATTCAAAAAATCAATGCAACTTCTAATTTAATATTTTATAAAACACTTACCAAATGTTTTGATTACTGTTGTTGAATACATTTAAACGTAATTTCCAAAAAAATCTATCCAATCTAACTTTTTCTTCTGAAGTAGTAAGGTTGTCACAATAAAAAAGTTAGTAAACCTATGATACAATTAACGTTTATATATGAATACCCAAAATAATTTTACTTACTTCAAGATTGTTTTTCATACATTATTATTTCGAACTCATCACCTTCGTATCGCATTTTGTTAGTTAAAGATTGTTGTTGAACAACCTTTGTGAAGCAAATAACCACTTGACTCGTCAAAAAAGGCTAGAGAGCCGCACATGTCGTACAATCGGTGTTTTTACTAGTGCATTTAGTTTTCTAACATAGTTACCAAAGGCAGCAATGTGAGAGCTGAGAGCCACAATTTCTTATTAAAAGAGCCGCATGCCGCTCCCTTAAATAAAATTATTATGTTTTCTCTAACACATTTCACTACTTTTTTTTTACTTACCACTTCTGTTTGTATTAAATAAAATATTGTAAGTGAAATTTATATAATTACAGTACAAATTTACAAATACCTTTTTTTGTAAACAAAATGTTACCAACCTATGACACTTATATACAAAAAAATGATGATTTTGCATCACGTGACTCTATGAACCAGTATATTTGTATCAAGTTGCCAACCGGTGAATAAATATTTTTATGTAAATGTGTGAGTAGATTTGCATAAGTACTTTGATTTTAATGCGGGTAAACTTTGAATCAAAATAATTACTTTTGATAGTTATAAAATCGTTAATTTCACTTCGATTATTTAATTTGATTTTTTTTTTTCTCTGAAACAAATTAATTTTTAAGAATTATTTGTATGTAATTAAAAGTGACTAAACGAAATTAAAAGATGTTAATTTGTTGGACGATAAGGGTTAATGAGTGCGTCGTGACGAATAAATAATCACAGAAACAAAAAAAAATATGAATACAGAAAAACAAACGCAAAATAGGTAAGGAAGGGTGTGTAATTAGGTTTCGATGCGTGATGTTGGGTGGACGGAAATCGTGTGCGAGCGTACGAATAAATTAATACGGTTATTTGCGTTAAAAATATCAAAATGTTCATTAAAAATATGCCGAGGGTGAATTTATAATCGCGTAATGTCACATTGCGAGTGCGCGCATTTTTCTGATCCCTTCAACCCCTCACCGCCGCCGCCACCGCCTACTTCAAACTCGCCACTGCCGCCGCCACAGCCGCCTCTCGATGCGTGATCAAAGATGCAAATGTGTTTTAACTACCAGAATAATTTGGCCTGAACACGTCGCGCTCATGATTTTGATTTACATTAATTCCATATTTTTCACCGTATAACATGATCGATATTAAAATATGTTACGCTCACAACCCTTTTATACTCATATGTATAAAGCAAGTTTATTTTTACTTAGTTTCAAATGTACCAAGTCTTTTTATGTCTTTCACATATTTTTTATAATTTAGTTTAATCTGTTTTATAATTGAGATTAACTCTTTATTTCTTTGCATATTTCAATTAAAATTTCACAAATTTTTAAATTTAGTTATGCTATCAACTAAAGTATAAGAATTTATTATAATTTTTCTGTATCCAAAATTACCAAGATTTTCTTTTACGATAAACTTTTTCTAAAGAATCAAAAGCATTTCTGATTTAATTAAAAGTTCTCAAATATTTTAACTTCATTATTTTTCTAAAATTATTTTTTTTTAATTTTTATTCTTTTTTTGATTATTTCATATTAAATTATTTTCTAATTTATTTCATATAAATACAAAATAATTGAATTTTGTTTAAACTTCCAATAATTTGTGTCTCGAAACAATTTACAAACACAATAAAAAATGCAATTTATTTCATTTTTATCCAATTTTATTATCAAATTTTGTTGCTCTTTCGTATTATTTAGTTGCTGTTTAAGGAATTTATAACACAATATATGAATCTGTTTTAATATAGTATTTTTTAATTAATCAATTTCTAATCGGGTTACATATGCTAAACAATTATTATTAATTAGCACTATATACAATATTAAATTTTGAACTAATATAATACAGTACGCGCTCAGTTAACGTACGTAATGCGAACATAAATTGTACGTTCATTGAATGGTGAATTGAAACGATATACATATTTCTTTAAACAATACCGTTCATCAGAAATAAATGTTACAATACCAATTAAAATCGTTTAGTTTGCTGGGTGAAAAAGAAATTATAAATAGCCTTCGAGAGTTGTGAAATACGGTTCCATTCGGAAAGGGTTATAATTAGTAAATTTAGGTACGGTTTCAGGGTTTGGACAAGCCATTACAATGGGTCTGAATGTATATATTTTTTCTCTGTCGTTGCGTTTGCTGTGATAAGGGTGGTAGTTACGTGGCGTGGAGGGTGGAAAAATCATAATTGCTAATATTGAATGTTTTTTGCGTGCGTGGCGTGTAAAATAAAGCAGTGCACATGTGAACAGCGCTTAATTCGCTTAATCGAGCCCACCTAGGCGACATTTACATCTCGAAAAGTCCGCTAACGACCTCACGTCACGCTTCCCGCCATAATTTAAACATCGTCGTAGTACGCACGGGCGCCCCCCAAACAACTGCACATAACATAATCGTGAGCTGCTCTCCTGTAAGTGGTCTAAAGGTGATCATCCGAAGTGGTTTTCGAGGTTCAGACCCTTGGGTTGTTACTATACCTTTTTAATTGGTCTATCGGTCTGCGTAGCTGCTGCTGCGGCCGTCCAAAGAAATTGCAACTGCAATGCCGTTCGCATACAAATTAGTTGCTACAGCAACGATATCACCTGGTGTAATAAAATCCCTCTCATCATATCCCGCGAAAATTACGTACTAATGCAATTTATTTATGCATTTCTCTGTTGTTTCTTTTTTCTTTCTTGCGTTTGGTTTTAGGTTTTGGGTTATTCGGATCCGGGCGAATCTGGGCTCGTTACTTAATTTATTGGCCAATTATCCTGCGAGCATTATTTATGTTAACATGAATCCTTTTCTGGTTACAGATTGCCGGCGATTAATCCCTCAAAATGCCACATACTGGTGAGTAATTCGTAATTTATTACATCGCAAATTGCATGGAATTACGTGTAAATACGATACATCATTTTTTGCGCTCAATTATGCATTTACGGAATGCACAAGTACACGTGTTCGGCAGGACGATTACCACTCGCATTATCCTCGAGCCCGAAACAGAGCCAACTGCCATCCAATAATAATGCAAAACACCGGACCTCGTACGTACGTACGTGTCCGTGAGCTTGTATGTATGAATGTATGCAAAGTAGCCCAAAATTATTCAATAAAACTTTAATTTATGGTCGGATCCTTTTTCAACGTGATAAATTGTTTCTCTACAGGAGGTTCCAGCAAGCAACCAACGAAATCTGAACCAAAAAAGAACAATGAAAAACATTTTTCTAAACCGCATATCAAAATGACACATAATTTGCAGCGCCATCTACTAACAATTTAATTATTAAAGTAATACTATGGTGAATCTGATACGTGACTAATGACTAATTCAAATTTCACCAAAAAATAAAATTCAGATAGATCGATAAAATAAAGTAAATTAATGAAACGTCGTTTCGGGGTTCCGTTCCTACAAAATTCGTCGCAAATCGAATCGGCGTAAAATGAACCCATATTTACAGTGAGGTAACTATAGGGTTTAGTTCTATATAAGTGTAAAATCAGCAATTAATAAGCGTTATTTCACAGCGGCATTATTGTGAATCAGCGTAAATCGAACCGGCGCAAAACGACGTTTATATGAAAAATGAAAATCTTTAAAAATTAACGAAAAAATGATAAAAACGATAAAAATGATCTTGGTTTAGTTATTTTGTGAATAAAAAAATCTACATAACTATTATACTCCCTCTGTGCGAAAATATGCTATACGTTTGAAAGAAAATCTTAGATTATCTAGAGTTTAGAAAGCAAATGTTAATACTCATTATATTGGTATTATTTAAATTGATAACTAAATAACATAACATATTTGACAGTCGTTGCTTTTGAGTTACGTTGGAATTTGAAGGCCAAACAATTGACTAATGGTATCTTGAAACAGCCATTACAATATATGAAGAACAAAGAAAAATTAGAACACGGTACTACTGATGTTTGGATTATTCAATTCAAGTCATAACAACTACCGATTTAAACCTTCTCGATTTAGGTTTTTTTACTCTATTTAAGTATTTAATCACTACAACATGAAGCTTCGCCAAACAATTGATGAATTGACTGAATGTGTTCAAGATGCATTTAATAAATTAGAGAGAAATACTATTAATAACGTTTTTATAACATTACAAACGTGTATGGAATCAATTATGTTAACAGGAGGAGGAAATTTCAATAAATTTTCTCATATAATAAGGTAAAACTTCGCCGTGAGGGTTGATTAACTGAAATGTATACAAAATGTATTTGTTCAAAAGAAACGTTCAACTGGACTAGTGAGATTCTTCAAGTAAATTTGGATTACACTAAAATTATTTGCATTTAGTTATATTGTGATATTACAATGAATTTAATAATTTTTATATTTATGTTTAGTTTTATTTCATTATTTCACAAATGCATACCATATTTTCGGACAAAAAAAATATTAAAACAGAGGGAGTATTATTTTTTAATAATGGAAAGTATTTTCAATATCAAATAGAAACTTTTTTTTAGAATTTATAGTACAAATATATAATTTTAAATATTTCTTTGTTAAAAATTAAAATTGTGAAACGGTTTAAATAAATTATATGTAATATTAAGAAATGATATGTATTCAGTCAGTTTTTTGTAGAATGATTTTTGTGTTGCACAATTAGTTAATGCGGATGTATAATTGTGCATAATAATGCAGAGAAATTGTCCGACAAAAACAAGGTGAAATTTATGACATCCGAGGAGGGCGAAGATAATGCAGTATTAATGATACCGAATTAGCTGTAGAAATTGCATATCCTTCGGGTATAATGCATTCAATTCGACCGAAAATGTGTTATTAATTATTTCCCTTTTCGCGAAAGCAAACGATTTTCGAAAGAAAAAAAAAACAAAATAATTGAAACAAGATTAAAAAAAATAAATAAATAACAAAATGTAAAGAAAGAGATGCCGATTGTGCAGATGTCCTGATCGAAGTTGAAGATCGAGTTGTACTCGGAATACTGAAGGATTCAAATTCCGCATAAATATTTATTTGGTGTAGGCATTACACGATATCATATACATATTGCGATTCCGCTCATTTTCGTTTTCCCTCGGACTCACTTAATGCAGCAGCAGGATGATTCCGGTAATTGGATGAATGATGCTCGCCCATACATATGTATGATGAATGCATGAATGATGGGTACGACTGAAGCCAAGGTAGATGGATGCGACGGATGGATGGATGGAAAGGCCTAAGCAGCAGAGTACACGAAAAAAGAAAAACTAGTTTACCTTGCCTCTACCAACGGTCACGGTCGACGCTGAAACAATTGGTAGAAAGAGGAGAGGATTCCAAGGCAGGATTATCCGAATGTCGAGAGTGCGTGCAAATTGCTTAAGCAACAGCAACAAAAAAAACAAAATAAAATAAAGGATGAACAGACCGAATTGCCAATGCGTTCTCTTCTCGTCTCTTTCTCTGTTTCATGGGAAGAACGGACAGACCGAGAAGTTATTTAGAGGAGGTGAAAGATCAAGCATATAAACTGGCTTTAAATGAAGTCACTTATTATGGACTTCTTGTAGTGAGAAAACCGTATCGCTGTAAATTATACCACACTTATAATGGCCACTTATTTATATAGACTCGCCTTCGATCATAAACAACGGATTTCAAACGCATCCAGAGCTCAAGATTGGTTTGGTGGCACTAATGAAAACGCCAACATTAATTGAAGTTCCGACGCTTCCAATGCGCACTTTGCATGCCGCACTCATTTATTTATACCATTCTTACCATTACTGCCACCCAACAAATACTTTAAACATTTAACGCCACCTATCAATAATAGTAATGCACTATTCTATTAAACATTTATAATAAGAAATAATAATTCAATTTGATAGGATTTCTATTTTACCTTAAAATTCTATCGAATTTTTAACATCAATTTATCAGAAACTAATAAAAGTCAACCATTGTCAAGACTATTAAACATATGCATCAAGAAATAATAAATTTCCTAGAAAAAATTGTAAATCTTAATGAATTGAATTATATTAAAATTATCTTTGATGAAATTCAATTATTAAATACTTGATTTCTTATATAATAAGACATTATTTTTTAATATTACGATTGACTATTTAATATCGGGAAATGTTTGAGGAAATAGAGCAATAAATATGAATGCAGAACGATCTCTCAACCCCGTGGAAAACGTTTTATTCGAGTAGGGGTAAATGCTGCGGACATGCGAAACGTCCATTACATAAGGTTGTTGTAGACTTTCTCGGATAACGAAAAGCTAAAGAAAAATTAAGAACACATTCTATATTTAAACAAACAAAAAAATCCCAACGATAACAAACATTTCCAATTGAAGATAACACAATTTTTAGTAATTTGCAATTAATTTAACATTTTCGGTTCTATTTCTTCTGTTATCAATAGAATTTTTACTCTGATAATAGAACGTATCGAACGTGAAAGTATTTTTTTTTTTTTGTAAAATTCGGTTTCTGAACCGAGGTTCATATATTTTTACTTCTATTGTATTTTGTACTCGAACTTAAAAGAATTGGAAAATTGTGTCGAAAAATTAATTAATTATGTAATCATATATGAAATATTCTATCGATGCACGCAATTTCTTGTTACAATTAGTTTTCAGTCATTAAATGTGAACAATTAAAAAATAATTCTAATCAAATTATCGAATTTCTTATAAAATATTGTAATTGATTTATAATGTATTTAAAAGACTTATTTCAACAATATTTATACATCGTATTAAAAACTTTAGTGAATACGTCTGATAAGTCTCAATAGTTGAAATTTAATTTAGCAGTTATTTCAAGGTTATTAAATATTAATTAAAGTTGGCTTTGGGCAAAACAAAACAAAAAACGCACGTTTTTTGTTTTCTACTTCAAATTACTGAAAAGCTGATGTATAAAAAAAAATGACAATACAGTCGGTTGAAGATGTTTATCGGAGATGGTCGTAATTTTGTGTCTTTTTGGGAAATTCGTATCGCGTGTTTAGTTCTTGAAGCGGCGTTCTACTATTTCATGGTTGAAGAGGGTCAGGGTAATTTCGCTAATGCGGCAGTAAAACGTCCGTGTGCTTCCAGCTGGTCCGAAGAAGAGAAGAGGTAACTACTAACAGTCAAAAAAGTGACACTCAAAAGAAAACACTGCACAGGTGTAACTTGATTTGTAAATAATTGACACGGCTCCGTCTCTTAGTTTTAGATGTTTGCGTTCACATTGCATTCCGCAATCCATCAACATTTCGATGTGAATGATCATAGATAGAAAGACAAATTTATGAATGAACGATATCAGTGGGAGGCATACAGCACCTGTGCATGGTAAATTAACTACCATCGACAGTTTACCTTTGGTAAAAGCACGTAACTCTTCTTCGTCTTCGCGTCGTCCCCTCGTCGCCCATTGTTCCCTTCCGTCGAAGACTTCCTGCAATTATTTGCATGCCTTTAATCATCCTTTATTTATTTTCTCCTCACTTTTTTTCATTTAATTAAAACGCATGTGGGTTCTTTATTAAAAGTATAAAAAAAAGAAAAAGAAAACGAGCGACAATGAGAACGATATATATTTATAAAATATCCGTCCGTCTGTATACGTACATGTAATCATATTTTTCTTTTTGTACGAAACATACGATTTCCTGTCCGGACATATCCTGCCTTGATATTGGAAATCAATTAGCTCACAACTTCGGATTGCATCGAAATTCCCATGCCTAAAATGTAAACCAGACCACTTCCTTTATTCTTTCATTTTTATTTTCGCGTTGACTCATCCAACTTGCCAACAAAAAAAAACCTGTATCTTTAACGACACCACAAATGCTCCACCTTTCGATTCATTCATTTACTTTATCTCTCATATATTCGATTTCAGCATTAAAACCAATATAAACTTTACACTAAATATAAAAAAAATCATTTTTTTTTTGTTAAAAGTATAATTAATTAAGAAATTTAATGAACTAATTGAAAAATAATGTTCTTCAGTTTATTAATCTAAATAATTTGTTTTATATTAGTTTTATTATGGAATATCATATTTTTTTATATTAAAATTGATTTCTCAGCTGAACTGTAAAATGCAAGAAAGTATGCAGAAAACAACTTAAAGTTAAAGCATTAATTAATCATTGCGGTAATTGCATTTTGCACATTCATCAAGACATCCATGATACCATGAGCATGCAAAGTAATTTCAATTTAGACGGGAGCAATTAATTATACAAATTGTATTAGAAGTTGTATAATAATTATATTTTTTTATGAAAGGTTAATTTAGGTTTAATTAAATTTCCATTGGCCTAAGGGTCGGTAATCCATGACTCTGGAGCCACATACGGACGGCTCTTTTAATGAGAAATTGCGGCTTCCAGCTTCACTTCATATCTTAAAAATGGTTCTTTGCTCCAAAAGAGTTGCCGACCCTTGGCCTAAGAAGTTAATAAAGTGTATAAGAAGAAGTAAAGAAATACAGTTGGTATTGACTATATTAAAGCAGTTGTAACCATGTCGATGAATATTTCAATTGTTAACAAAATTTAAAATAAAATAATATTTCATTGTGTATTTTCAAATAATAGTTTTATTAGACAAAATACTCACATTTAGAATGGTATACTTTATATTTTATAATACAAAAGTATTGTATGTAAGTTTTATATTATACAATATAATTTAGCTTTTATGAAATTTCCAAAAGTTACCAAATATTTAATTGTTTAAGTTGGTATGATGTATTATAAATAGCAACAGCTTTATGTTAACAATAAAAAGTATAATAGATCAATGATTTATCAAATTTAATAAAATTAAATACTATTATCAATAAATTTAATGATACATTTATTTAGAAAAAAAAAAAGCCATAAACAAAGATAATAAAATTTCATTTTGTTTTAATAAAATTTAAGTTGGCAATTATTGGTACTTACGTCAACTAATGATATTTAAAATATTCTATTGTCTTATGTCAACAATTAACAAATTTTATAAATGATTTGACGTTTATCAAAATTAAATATTGTCAAAATGTGTATAATTATAAATTTAATAGACAAAAATGTTTCATGTATTTAGAAAATAACCATAAGTAACGATAATTAAATTATTTTTTTTATAATAAAATTTAAGTTGGCAATTTAAAAAAAGATTTTTTGTCAATAATAAACATTTTTTTTAAGCAAAAGTTATTTATGTAATTAATGAATATTCGTAATATTTTTGTGAAATAAGAACAAAAAATTGCATTTATAAAAAGACAGTAATGATAGTTGAGGTAAGGTCAAGTAATTTATATTAAAAAAATCAGTAATTGAAATTATTATAAAACGTTGGATGGTTGAAGGGGTTAGAATAATGTAGATAATTGTATTTCACTTGAAAAGTAAATAGTTTGAATTAGTGGTAATTGTATCAATGATTATGAGATATGCGTGCAAGGGAAAGACTCTTCACCTGTCGAAGGAAAAATGATTTGAGTATCCCCCAAAAAAAAAACAAAAAGGAAAAAAAAGGACGACCCTCCTGCTGCATTATTACCCACATTATCCTGTGCGAATGTCCATATATATGTATGTTCACGTGCGGATGCAGGACGATGTCTTTTTGTTCGGGCTGTCGCTTTGCATATCCGATCGATGCTCGAAATTTATTCAAATTAATTGGCCGGAATTCGCGTCTGGTTTTGTCTTGGCATGTTGTGTGCTGTCGGTGGTGTGGTGTGTCGTTAAAATGAGAACCTAACCAGACGAACCAGTTTGAGCACCTTTTAATTACGGAATCGTAAGGCAGAAGTCGGCGTCGGAAAGAAGGCATGAATGGAGGTAATTACACGTAAAAAGCACATACGCGCGAAACTGATTTGTAACCTGAACAGGACGAATTATATGTATATATATATATATATTAATAATGCAACACAGGAAACGTGTGTAGTATTATAATTTTTAATGCGCATAAAGTATGGTGATTAGGGACAATCGAGCGGTAATATCCTGGCACTTTGTTGAAATGCAAATTCAGTTAGCCCCTATGGATATGATTTCTTGGCCTCGTTTTTTTTTTTATTTCTCTTAAAGTCCTTTGTGCTTAGTCTTCGCTTTTCCTTGTTGTAGGTCAAGCTGGGGTCAATCAGTTGGGCGGCGTCTTCGTCAACGGACGCCCTTTACCCGATTGCGTGCGTAGGCGGATCGTCGAGTTGGCCCTTCTCGGAGTCCGGCCCTGCGACATCTCAAGACAACTGCTAGTTTCGCACGGATGCGTCTCCAAGATCCTCACCAGGTTCTACGAAACTGGCTCCATTCGACCGGGATCCATCGGAGGCTCAAAGACAAAGGTATCTTGATTTTTGCTCATTTTCAATTTGATTAACGTACATTCTATAATACGTACATAATTATTTACGACACATAACTAACGAACAAATATCCATACTTACGTATAATTATTCTTCAAGTAGGAAATAAATGACATATTATGACATTTCCCAGACGTCTAAAGTTGATTTTAGAATTTTCAATTAATCTGTAAAATTGTAAAGAAATAAATAATAATTCTGACTGTAAGCTTTTCTTTAACGAAAGTACAACCAGTATTTCAAGCGAAAGTTCTAAAGTTATATAAAAAGTTGTTCATAAAATAAATTGATTATAAAGTATGGAAGAATTTAATTGGATAATAATATAAAGCCATTTAATGCAAATCATGGGATTAAAAAATAAAACATTTGTTTATTTCCTCCTAAGCCAAGTACTTTTCGGAATGATATTTAAAGAAAGTAGTCTTCAGTATTTCTTGAATTATTTACTAATAGAACAATTAAATTCCAAAGAAACTGTACAAATTGTATTTAATTCATATGTCAAAAGGTGCAAATACAATTACAATTAAGTCATGTACATTAAGATAAGTTCATTCGAATATGTTGGAAAATTCAACTGTTTTATGTTTCTGTGACAACTTTCATTAACATTAATGTGATTTCAATAATACACTTACTAAAATTAAATTTCTCATGATGTTTCTTATAATTAGAAATTTGTGTCTAATTCACAAGTTGATATCTAAATATTTCTAATGATTATATTAAAAGTTCAAAAGTCTTCATAATGTTTCCAAGAAATAATTATAAAAAAAATGAAATAAAAATGCATTTATTTGAAATAAATTGAATTAATTTTCTATATATATCATTTTTCAACTGTTTAGAATGTTAACAGTGTTTTGTTTTATGTTTGCGACAAATGTATCTAGGATCAAATGCGATCTAGACAGGTGATGATAGGTGACAGGTGACAACGTTCGCTCGTCCTGATTGCGTTTAATAGCGGAGCACTTGCCGACAGTGTTTACATAACACTGATTGCGCGCCCGTTAAATTATTAATAACGGAGGATTTGATCCTGCGGAATGGGCGCACCAGGCGTTAAAATTCACACGGCTCTCACACACTACATTACACGGCGAACGAAGCTTTATTTTATTTTTTATTGCGCTACCCTCTGTGTTTATGCCCGATGCTGCTCATTTATAGGCATTATAGCAATAGCGATGATGATAATGATGAACCGAATGAAAGCACCGCATTTATCGCTAATGGCCACGTCCACAGCTCTCATTACATGCACATAAAACACAAAGCAAACCAAAATACGCGCGGTCCTCTCTGATTGAAATCACCGACAAATATATATAAGGTGTCCCAAAATTATTTAACTATTAAAAAAAAAATGTTAATTATATAGCTTTACAACATGTCCACACTTCAACTCATTGCAAATAAAATAAGAATTAAAATATTTTATTTTATAACGAAACAATAAATATTAATAAAATTGATCAATATTTATATAATCTCTCTACTTTTGTTCATGTTTTAACTGTACAGATTTTAATCTTCTGACTAAATATAAAATACTGAATGCAAATAATTAAATTAATTCAGATTTGATTGTCTTAAAACACTAAAATATATTTTTCCTTATTTTTGTTAATAATTTATTTATATAAAAAAAAAACTACATATTATTACTTGTTACGGCTGAAAGACTGAATGTTATTAGGTGATCTTGACTATAATTACTTTTTATATAAGAATATGTTGAAAGCACAGGCATATTAATATTGTAACTCAGATTTTGAACTAAACAATATGTTGAATTTATTAAAAATTACTGTAATTATCAATAATTGCTAATTAGTGTTAAGATTCTGATGAAATCTGTAGACGTTGTTTAAATTTGTGGTTGCTTTTGTTGTTCGAGTGAAAAACAAGAAGTGTTGTTGTTTTCTGTCTTTTGTTGAACATAAATAATTCCCGTAATCGCACCGAAATGGTGTATCCAAACACCATTATGATCCGCGTTCCCGATAGAAATGTTTATCCAATTAGTGGACAGGCAATATATCATGGAACGTTGGAAAGTAATTTGGGCTTCGATCGCAATCATTAAAGACACATATATGAAAAATTTACGGTGAGTGCGATTACGATCTGGCCATTGTCATTTGTTGGCTTCTTCGTCTACTCCTCCTCTTCCCAATGCTTAGTTTGTACTTGTATTATGTAGAGGTATAAATAAAGTAAAATGGCGGAAAGCGGCTTCCGATGATACTGGACTAAAGATAGCGTAGTGAGCATGGTGTAATTACTACAGTAATAATATCATGTCCGAGCCATGTCAAGTGGTCTAAGCCGGCGGTTGGCGGAAGCATCCTCTGATGAAGCACCCCGATATTTATTATATCCGAGGGTTGTGTCACTACAAACACCGGGCTAATGTGCCAACGACACGCGCCTTCATTCCTTCCCGTCCCTTCCCTTCGCGCCAACCTCCCTTTTCACAACCACTGAAACCCCTCCACTTTACCTTCAAAGACCGGTCGTAAAGATCAACCCATCACCTAACCGCCTTTTTGCATTTAATTAACCCACACACAGAAGGGCTTTATCGCAATTCCTTCCGACTCCTCACCATCGCAATTTCCTTCACCAATTACTTCCACCCTTTCAATTTAATTTCCCTCCTTCATCCATTTTTTCCAATCTTCTTCTCTACTTGCCTCCTTTTTTCAGTCATTACTTCGCTTCTTTCATCCTTCATCTACATAACTCCTTCATTCAGTTCTTCCCTATACTTGTCTTAATTTTATCATCTGGGTAACTCTTTCATTCTATCAATTGGATAATCAGTCTGGCATTGTACGTTTTATTTATTTTTTTGTTTTTCATATATTTTTTACTAACTACAACATCGTGTACTGTCAGCGTCACGCAATGTTCCTCCTAATAAGCTAGGTGACATTTATTTGCTTGAACAAACAGAAAGGTTTCTAGTTTTACACGAAACACAATTATCCGCTATCCCACGGGAAGCGACGGTCGGAATTGGCCTGTCCCCAACGTCCATCGAAACACCACCAATTATATACCCATGCGGATGATTGCGAGGAAATATGGATTTACACTGTTTTATTTATACGCCGCAATCGTTTCAATGCTAACAACCACAAGACCTTCAACTTATCAATTTAAATATGATTACTTTGATAATTAATGACATTTTCTTTTAATAAAATATAACAAAAAGTTATGTGTTAATACACACGTTTAATTCAATTCTCTTTTAATGCCTAAGTTTAAAATGATTAAAATTTTGTGAAATTAAATATCAAGAATTCTGCTTTTGTGGATACCTAAAAAGGTGCAAAGTGAAATTGTCGACAGGAAAAATTTGTAATGAGCAAAAAAAAAAATAACTTTGGCACGTTTCGTGTTCGTCGGGGTGTTAAAATTGGATGCGATTAGTTTAATATTGGGTTCGAGTTGTCATATCGTTGAAGGTTTTGGAAATCCAACTCGAAATAACAGATCTCTTTGGAGAAGAAGCGTGTGCAAAGCTATTATCGAAGGTGGCGTGCCAACTTAAGTTGTTAATGAAATCGCGAAAGAAAAAGAACACATTTTAAGTGCTTCCGAAACGTACCGGGATTTTCAGATAATAAAGACAGCACAGGTGCTGATCTAATTTTGTTCGTTCAACGATTACGATGCATTACGATCAGGTCTTCAGATTAGGTTTTGATACCTGGAGTTTGTCGAAGGCAATCGGTCGGATCGAATCTCATATCTGCAATTAATTCAGGCGATGCCCATTTTCTTGCAGCAAGTTGCGACGCCGACGGTGGTCAAGAAGATCTTGAGATTCAAGCAGGAGAATCCTGGGATGTTCGCATGGGAGATACGGGAGCAGCTTGTCTCGCAGAGAGTTTGCGAACCTCATAACATTCCATCAGTCAGTTCGGTGAACAGGATCCTCAGGAATAGTGGAGCTTGGCCTGATCCACCTGAACTCTTACATCATCATAGGCACACACAACATACAGGTAAGATACTAACAATTTTATGATAAAATATTTTATTATTGCAATTTACTCATGAAGCAAGTTAATCTAGGATATATTTAACTTTAATTTCTAAATTTTCTTAAAATTCTACATCTGCTGAAGAATAATTACAATAAATCTAGGATTGATTCAAATAGTAATTAAAGAAAATATGATTGTACATTAATTAATATGTAACTAATTTAATGATAGTTATTTATGCCTCGATTTGTATTCATTTTTAGTTAAAAAGTAAAGTAAATAGATCATAAAAATGACCTGATTCGTTAATTACGTTTTGTGGTCTACGGAAATAATTATTCGTTGTAATTACGGTCGTAGTAAACACGAAGCGCATTGTCCCAATCCTCACATAAAATTGTAACTTTCTCCGTTGGAATTACCCCATTTCAAAGTGCTCCGGGATTGCCCAAACATTTGACTCATTACTTTTATGTAAGTATCCACATACAAGTGATAATTGTCGCAATAAAGTTTCTATCCGAATCGTAAAAAATGTACTAATTAAAATAACACCGAAAAAAACATGCAATAAATAACAGCAGCTAATTGACACGTTTATTAAATAAGATGAAATAATGAAGTCCCGTCGTTACGCAATTAAATCGTTCATATATATATGTATATAAATATATCGAAATTGAAAATCGACGAATGCGTGAGGAATGCGTATTAATTAGACTTCTCCTCCTCATCCCCCATGGGTTCTTCAAATTCGTGAGAATTGGGGAACCTAATGAAGACGTCGAAAGGTGCTCGAGTATGATATACGTGTGGGTCATAAATTTAGGTTTTTGCTTGTTTTTCATGAAAAATTTCAGTTTCGTTTATTAATTAGCCGCACGAGGAATGGACAACATAACGGTAGCCCCATAAATTACGTAGCATCGGGCCCTAATAGAATCAACTCTACCTGCGAACACTATTTTACCTGTCATCTAACAGCTTGAAACATAAAAGTATACATGCCAGATAGGAATCGGATGAGCTGAGCTGCACAGCATACAGCTATAATTCAATTTCGGCGCTTTATCTTTCTTTTATCCGACTTAATGGGATCTTGATAGCGATGTATATTTTACCAATCACAAATTAACTTGTTTACTCAAAGAAGGCGGAAGTCTTTTTCCCAGCAATTTGATCATCATTCTTAGATTTCATTTAATTTTATCCATCATACCCATGTATTCACTAGATTCAATTAATAAAACCGTACTAATCGAGGTATTTAAATATTATTTATTAAACAAAGGAAACAATCTGATTAAAAAATAAATGAAAAAAATCTTAATTTTATAATTGGAAATAATAAAATATCGAAAAAGACGATGTTGAGAAAAAAAAGTAATTGATGTTGCAATGAAAAATGCAGATATGAACGTTTATTTGGTTTTGATTTTTGTTGCGTTATAGTTTTGATGGTTGTATGTTATTGGGAAAAAAAAGTAATTGAATGGGATAGAAGTAGATCTTGAAGCATCGATGGTAAGTAGTTAGTTGAGAATGGTTCAATTAGTAAAGAGGCGCAAAGTTTAGAACGTAATAAAGAGGCCGGTGCGTTTTCGTCCAGTTCTTTTCTTCGTTTTAAATAAATTAAGCGGTCATTTGTATGTGCCGACGGAGGTTCAACTCGCCTCACCACATCTCTCTGATCATCGATTCCAGTCGGAAAGGATCTAATGGAAATGTAAATTTTAATGCGTATCTGCTATGGAATAGTTCCAGGTCATATATACTTTTTTAGTCGATAAAAATTACCATTTTAATTCGAAATCAATGTCCGAGCGATAATCTCCTTTCGAAGAAACCCACGCGATCTCATCCAGATTATTTACTATATAGCTCTGATGATCATCCCCTTTTTTTCTTATGTTGTTTCAGACCCGATCGTTAGAGGCGCCGATTCTTATGGTACAAAGAGCGTTTCGCCGCTTCAGAACATGACCTATTTCCCACTACCGGAATCCCCATACACCAGCAGCAGGTTGGCAGCCCTTCAGCATCAACTACATATTGCCACGTCGACACCTAATAACCTGGATCAGATCAGCAACACCTGGTCCAACCTGATAATACCTTATCAACCGATGGCAAAGCACGCGCAGCCAGAGAAAGAAATTGAGGTTGATGAGGATGAAGAAATTACGATAACCGTGGAGGAGAAGCCCATCGAGGGACCGAAAAAGAGGAACCCTTACTCGATAGAAGAACTACTAAAGAAACCAACTAAAAGGGTTAAAGCGCTTGATTTTAACCACGCGGATATCCAACAACCGATCGGAGCCCTCATCAACAACAGTAACGATAGTCTGGATGCCCTTCAGGAAGCCCCTTGAAGGTATTGCACAAGGTCTTTTATAATCACGCATCATCATCCTCTCCATTTCAATTCGCCTTCCAACCTCACCTTTTCTTCAAAAACAAAAAAAAAAAAGCTGGAAGCAGCAAAGAGAGACGAAAGGGCATAATTAAACGATTACCTTGCGCCTCACAATTTACCCGCTCTATCGGACGGACAGGTGCTTCACAATCTCTACAAAGATTAACTATCCTTTCGGACAATAACGTCCGCTCGTATTCAAATCGTCAGCCCTCATCTTGACCATTCACACTTCGTCTTATCAGATTCAATTATTTATACTACCCAAAATTAATGAAAAAACACCACTTAAAACACTATATTATTTACATACAATGTTTCTATAAATATCGCAAAATAATATTTACACTTTAACAAATTACATTTATTAAAATATTATACAATATATAAGTTAATTCATAATTTGTTTGGTAATAACAATGACAAATTTGCAATAAGTGTTTTACTATAAAATTGCCAAAAAAAAATCATTTTGAAAAATAATATTTTTTTAATTACTTATAATTTTATTTATTGCAACAACAAAGAACCATGAGATTATAGAGATTTGCACAAAAACTATTATTAAAAGATATTGTTTTTCAATAAATTTGAATTCAAAAATACATTAATTTAATATTTGATTTGGTATTTTATGAAAGTTAAGCAATAGATACTACTTGAATTGGTGATAATTGTATCATATTATTTGACAAAATTAGATCGATAGCCCTTCAGTTAGTATGACCAATAAAAATGTTTAATAAATATAGTACAGTAATTACCCTAATTATTACTGTGCAAAAACCGGTTTTCGAATCTCTAATCTTCTAACTATCTAATTAATCAATTAGGTTATTTGATGTTTGATAACTAACAAATGTTAGATTGTATTTGAATATTATGTATAAAAAAAGCACATGAATGGTATGGAAATGATAAAAATGTGTAAATTGGTATTAATTAAAGAGAAAATGTGTACAAGGCCGAAAGTGAAGAAGGCTGTTGAAAAGTATCTGAATTTGAATTAGTCGGAAACAGAGACGACTTCATCGGTCTTTGACGTTTCTTATCGAATCGTCTGCGGGAATTACCATAAAGAACTGAATTCACGATCGAACTTCGAGTTCGAGCATCTGTTTAACTTCCAGTCCAAAGTCGACCACTATTGTACACTTTATGCAAATCGATTACGTTCCATGGGCAAATAATCGGGCGTCTCTTAATTAATTTTATCAATTAATACTGATTGCAATTAACGCCCGACGGAACCTTAAGACATTTCAACTGTAGACGCACACAGAAAAACAAAAAACAACATATAGTTGCGTGTACATTTCTATTTCATACTGGTACTATAAGCCTGAGAGAACTGCGCATTTCATAAAAATTTTATTTTGTTTAATTCGCTTAATCCTCAAAACACGGAATTCGTTCGTGCGTAATGACAATTTAAACTGGATTTTAAAGCGACGAGAGAAAAAAAAAATGATATTTTATACGTTTGTGTTTGTGCAGCCGTTTGCGCAATCAATGCAAAAAGGAAGTCTCTAGTTTTCCCATGGAAGGCCGCATCATAAACTTCGTTAGAGGCTAAATCTTCATTAGAGTCACCACCAATAAAATACAGTAATAGTAGAACCTTTGGAGATGGCGAAGATACAGATACGAAATCTCCTGCGTTCGGTCCCAATTATGCATTTCACAGTTATCCTGAAAGCAACGATTTCATTAAATCGCCTTAAATTTAAGCACCGTGTCGCTGGATGCGAAGAGATTTTTATCGGAAGGATAAAGTACGTCCTGTTATGTTAACTTCGTTATTAAACGTAGAATAATAATGAGAAGGAGATGGAGAAATTATGTTTTAAATGGAGGCGGATTTTTTTTCTTCTTTCAATTTGTTAATTGGGATCTTCGAATCAATTGTGAAATTTAATTCACACTGTGAGACTAAATTGTAGCCATATTTTATTCAATAATTCGTATCTTTAACAATGATCTAAGTTATAACACACATTTCTTTTTATTTTGTTTGTTTGTAACGGATTTAATAAATTTAATAACAGATCAGATCAAAAAAATTAAAGATTATCTTGGCTACTAATTTTTAAATTATCAGTGAAAAATCTCTAAATTGAAAGTTATTTATAAAACGTAGATAAAATATTTAGCTTTAATCTAATTTGATAATGACGAATTTATTCAATGTAAATTATACTTATATTTTATAAAGTTCAACATCCTAATTTTTTATTAAAGCAAATATTTAGAAGAAAAAAATCAAATTTATGACAATCGGTTTAAAAATTGCAAAAGAAACAAAATTTTTATTGAGTAAAATAAAAATAAATTTTACAAAATTAGTACACAAAATTATTGTTATTATTGGCTACAAATATGACCAAACGGCTATGGACAAGTCTTTCCGTCTTCTCGCTTAGTTCAATATCAAACAGTCCGGGTTATTGGTTATCCGCTCTATACGAAGTATTTTGAAATTCATTATTCAATTATTTTCTTATAGATTTGTTTAATTGTTTTGACAATATTGACAAATTAAAACAATTTTTTTTATTATTTTTTGTTCTACTTTTTATGAAATTTGTGCATACTTTATTTGATTGAAGTATTTGCGTTTTTATTTTAGAAAATGAAACAAGTATAAAAAAATATTCAAATTTTTAATTATTTTTAAAAGCATTATTTTTTTTTGTATTTTTCTGATTTTTGACTTTACAAATCAACACAGTTTTTTTTATGTAATTGAGGCATCTATAAAACAATTAGTGTTGAAACATAAACTGTCTATTTTTTATGACTATGAAGAGTGATAGGTTTATTATGCAATAAATTAGTAGATACATTGTATGCATAATATGTAGTATAAATATTATTGAGTGTCCTGAGGGTTATTCTGCACATGTCTAGAAAAAGAAAGTAAAATTGAAAATAATGAACATTAAAAGTGATGCTTATTTTATGCAAAAATTTGTGTCAATTAATTATATGTTTGTATAATTGAATCTGTGAGTAGGTGAAGTGAAGGTGTGTTTCCCAAATAAATTATATTCGTTGATAAATAGGGGCATCAAGATGCACGAAGGCGACTCAATAAAATTATTATTCTTTTATTTTTTTTTTCCGTCGTCCACCTTATTTTCTTTGTGTTGCATTTTGTTTTCATGTCGCAGCAACAATGATAAAATGAATGGACTCGAAGATCGTGTTATATGATATTGAATACGGGCGGACATTTGGTAATGCACATTTCTTTTCCATGCCAAACAGAACAAACGGATCGTAAATTAACGTAGGATTATTACCGACAGTGTCTTGTTAGTTCACAGGTTTTAGAAGCGCGCACGTGCCGATTCTAGTACTTCTTGCACGTTAGTCCTTCCTTTCAGTCGTTAGTCCTGTCTGTTTGTTTCCTTGCTTACTTGCTCTCACCCATCCTGCTAAAGCCGCCTCAACAATAATTATATGCGGGTTAGGTGGATTTTAATGCGTAGCAGCAAAAGTTTTACGTATTCCGAACTACCCTTACCCCATCATTTCGTCCTTCTCATTTCATTTCCATTCGCCGACTCACCTGGACGACGAAAATAAACCAAATATCTTCGTACCAACATGCGAGTATTTTTGCAGGGGCCATAAGTTACGACGCGCGCGTGCCACCTTTTTGCAGTCATCTGCAGACTTCGAAGGACGTGCCATCATTAACATTCGTCCTTCTGTAATACGCATTTAATGTCGAATGCGTCGCACATATATATTAACACCTATTTATTTATTTATTTATTAATTATTTGTTTGTATCTAATCATACTTTAGCGGTAAATGTACAAAATTATAATAAGTAGATCGTGTAAATACATCTCCTCTTCGTCTAATAACTTAATGTAAAGAAGAGTAATCTTTATTTATTTTAAATTAAATGTCCTTAGGTTAAGTATTATTATATACATTGATAAGCGTAGTAACTGTACAAAATAGTTTCTGTAGATATAGAACATACTATGTTAATTAATTATTGTTAATTGTAGATTGATTTGTAAATAAAACGTACATAAATTATGCATTATTAATCGCACTTTTCATTGCTCAAACCCAAATCACAATTAAATAAGGTAAGTTACTTTTTTATACAAATATTTCGATGATAAAATTGAAAATTATTATTTTAAATACAAACCTTATTTTTTCACAATTTTTCTGTAAGTCGTTGATGTATCAAATAAAAATAAAATTAATTTTAAGCACATTGGTCAAAATTTATGTTTATAAGAAATTATTATTTTTATAAGAAATTTAATGAATAAAAATAATTATAATAATAACATTTATTGCAAAAACCATAAAAATTGTATACAAAAACGGAAAGTCTTTGTTCATTAGGTTTGTGGTCATAATTGTGTTTAGTAAATTAGATAAAAAATATTGTTATATTGTGTAATTTGAGAAAAATTAAAAGCTTTCCTACAATTAAATAAGAAATTTTATGACAGCAATCACAATGTGTCAAATCGAGGAACTGTTAAAATTCTCTTAACAATTGCATCATAGTACAATTACAATTACGAATATGTTGGATTGCAAAATGACAAGTGTCAGCTTCTGTCAAAAGGAGGAACTGGTGAAATACTCTTAGCAATTACACTTCTAATTAATTGACACATTTTTATGATAAACAACAGAACTGAATGTTCATTATTTACAATTGTGCAGAATAACTCTCAGAACTCTCAATAATATTTATACTACATATTGTGCATACTAATTTATTGCATAATGAACCTATAACTCTTCATATTCATAAAACAGTTTCTGTTTCAACACTTTTTGTTTTATAGATGACTAAATTATATCAAAAACTGATTGATTGATTAGTAAAGACAAAAATTAGAAAATATATGAAAGAATTTCATACTTTAAAACATAATAATTGTAATAAAAAATAGTGAAATAGAGAAATATTACATGACAACTGTCACCTAGTATCAAAATGATGAACTGGTGAAATACTCTTAACAATTTTAACTACAAATATGTTGTCTCGAGGAATGACAACTGTCACCTTGTGTCAAAATGAGGAACTGGTGTAATATTCCTAACAATTATAACTACAAATATGTTGTCTCACGGAATGACAGCTGTCACCTTGTGTCAAAACCAGTAACTGTTGAAATACTCTTAACAATTGAATCACAGTACAATTACAAATATGTTGGATTGCGAAATGACAACTGTCACCTTGTGTCAAAATGAGGAACTGGTGAAATACTCCTAACAATTATAACTACAAATATATTGTCTCGCGGAATGACAACTGTGACCTTGTGTCAAAATAAGTAACTGTTGAAATACTCTTAGCAATTGCATCACAGTACAATTACAAATATTTTGGATTGCGAAATGACAACTGTCACCTTGTGTCAAAATGAAAAACTGGTGAAATACTCCTAACAATTATAACTACAAATATGTTGTCTCGCGGAGTGACAGCTGTCACCTTCTGTCAAAACGAGTAACTGTTGAAATGCTCTTAGCAATTGTTTGGTCATTGCACAACTACAAAATAATGTAATTACTTCTATATTTGTATTATTTTTTGTGCCAAAGTTTAAATAATGTAGATGAATAATGATTTCTATACTTGTTAACATTAATAATATTTGTTGTAAATTATTTAGCAAGATTAAAAATCAATTATTTAAATTACAGAAACGAATTGTAAGAGGTAAAACCTGAAGTCGTTATCGAAATTAAAGCAAATTCTCGATAATTTGAAAAAGGTAAATATTAATAAAAGTTTTAATTGATTTATTTTCTGGCAGACTCGAAAATGATACAGTACGAAGCGAAAATCTTAATAGCATGTAATTTTGTACTAAAATTTCAGGCCAATTACCGCAGCCGCATCCGTTACACTTCTCATTTCTTCGTTTCGGGCGAGGATACTTTAATTGACAAAAAAAAAGCAATGAAACCATCATATTTTGTTGTTGTCGTTTTTTTTCTCTTTCTAATTTTTTCGGGTTCTTTTCAGTTTTATTGTTCTAATTAGTAAATTTGCGTGCTGCCCGAGGCGATATAATCGACTAATAACAACCCTAAATGGTACACAATATTATCAGATCTATGAACAACCCCACCTGCTGTTTTGACCCTTATAATTTTTCACACAGGCTCAAACAAAACAGTTATACGTTTGTCTGTAATGTGGCTGAAAAAAGAAAAAAATAAATAAAAAGGAAGAAACAGAAAACGATGAGCGCTCGTATACAAAGAAACACGATTGAGGGGGAAAAAGTAAAAAGTGAAATAGAAAAGAAACGACTAGAATGAATGTGTAGAGGCGCGCATATTATATACCATCATGCGTAAATGTGCATTGCGTATGCAAATATATAGAAAATCATAAACATTTTGAAGCATTTCAGTTGTTCCATGTTGTTATTATTATTATTATTTCTTTCCTTGGAAGCCTTTCCAAGGTTCAGTTTAATTGATGTTCCGCCGCAATTAATTAGCTTGATGGACGCAGGTCGTGGAGACAATGTTTCCTGTGCGTACACATTTTCAAATTACCTCTTCTGACCCGTCTGCAAATAATTGCACCTCGAGAAATAATTATCTTTTACATCAATCGAACGTTTCAAACACGTATATTATTTTATCTTCCAGAAAAAGTGGAATTTATTTTTTATTTAAATAATTGCAGTAATTTCAGTCATGATCTAAATATGCTTAAGTATCTAAAAGAAAAAGCATGACATTCCAGTCAATCAATGAGTTTCCATCAATGTTACACATTTGTTTGAAAAACTACACACTAACATTCATTATATAAATAATTACAAGAATAGTATGAAAGAAATACACATCTTTGATTCATTACTGTCTATACAATTAGTGTTATAGTATAATTATTACAAAAAAATATAGTCCATATTAGTTGATAATGCGTACTTTGCTATTCAATGATTTTCAACCGATGTGAGTCGTATACATTTTATTATATTATATTCCAATAAGTTTCATTAAACAATAAGTATAGATAGAATATAAGTGTACCTTTTGTCTAACTTTAAGTTCAAGTATGCCATGTAATAAAGACATTTCAATTGTTATTATTGATGTTAGAAGACACATTGAAGTATTCCAATTGGGTGTTTGCAAAGATGCTTTCATCCAAATTGACAGCTGATTATTAGATAGATCCAACTTATACAACATGTTATTATTCTGAAAAGTTGTACTTGTTAGGGATGAAATTGATATATTTGACATTGATATTTCTTGCAGTTTTGTCATCAGATCGAAGAGGCCTTGCTGAATCTGTTTTATTGGATTGTTGGATAACTTGATCTATAGTAAAAATATAAGTGTACCTTTCGTCTAACTTTAACTTCAAGTGTGCCATGTAATAAAGTGAAATGTTTTTATTTATTGTTATTATTTATGTTAGAAAAGACTATGAAAGTATTAATTATTTTAAGAGTAAACCTAATTATGATTTTAGGCTAAAAGTCATTAGATCAAAATGAATAATACATTTTGTAATTATTTCTGTTTGTATATTTGGTTGCATACTGCTAGTAATCAATTATGTCCGTTTTGGACAGCGCTAATCACGTTGAACTATAACTATTCAAAACAATTCGAAAGATGGGGCGACGAACGTTTAAAATATACGCAAAACTTTTCAGCAGCAAAAATAATTGGCAAAGTATCAGCAGCAAAGAATCCATAAGATGGAGCAACCATACATATAGAATCAACTTTGGAATAACACAGAATTTGTGGGATGCAATTAAGTATAAGGATTTGTAGAAATAGATGAAACTATGCAAAATAATTTAATTGTTCCTAAAATACACGGTGTCCAATAAAACATCGTTCTTTATGAGTTCATACTGATAATAGAACTTCTTCAATTCCTGCCTCTTTATAACGCAATGAAATGTTTCGTAAACCACGCAAAAGCTGCTTATCCCATCAAAATAGTTTCCTTTAGTGAAACTAATTGATTTATTTGACAGTGCTGTTAATATATTATTGAAGCAGGCGCATGCAAGAGGATTTCCCAAGAACTCCAGCATCCTTAATTTGGGCATCTGTTCAAATAGTGAATCCTCTATATAAATCAACCTGTTCTCAGTAATATCTAAATATTCTAGGCTTCTGGGTAATGTCTGAGGACCAATGTAATCTATTTTGTTTCCTCTCACATATAACATTTGCAATGGCTGATTGACCAAAACATCAATGTTTTCAAACCCATTGTTGCTTAAATCAAGTACTTTGAGTCTCCTGTTTCTAAACAAATTCTCTCTGAATAATTCCAGTTTGTTATTGGACACATTCAAGTATTCCAATTGGGTGTTTGCAAAGATGCCTTCATCCAAATTGGACAGCTGATTATTAGATAGATCCAACTTATTCAACATGTTATTATTCTGAAATGTTGTAGTTGTTAGAGATGAAATTGATATATTTGAAATTGATATTTCTTGCAGTTTGGTCATCTGTTCGAAGAGACCTTGCTGAATCTGTTTTATTGGATTGTTGGAGAACTTGAGCTTCTCCAAATTATTGATTCCAGTAAACGCTTCAAGCTGCAGATTGTCCAATTGGCAGTTGCTCATATCCAATTCCTTCAGCAGCGTAGCCACCTTGAAAAGGTGAACGTCTATTTTCTGTACTGGATTGTTGCTTAATTTCAGAACTTCCAAGTCTTTCGTGTAATTGAAGACGCCACTCAAGTCCGGTATATCGTTGTTTGATATATCTATGATTTTCGCGTTCCGTAATTCTTCGAATGTATCTGCGAGCAGCACGAAAATTCCGTTATTATTCAGATACAAATTCTGCAATTTGGGCATGTCAAGAACCGCTGTGCCTATATTGGTGATGCGATTCTGAGATAAATTAAGCTCCTTCAATTTTGCGATCTTCGTGAACGCTTCCCTGGGTGGATTCCTAAGAACGTTCTTGTTTAAGTTAAGCCTTTCCAAGTTGGACAGATTATCGAACATTTGGTTAGTTATTCTTGATATTTTATTATTGCTAAGGTCCAACTCGATGATATTATTTACACGTACAAATGTGTTTGGATTTATTTCACGTATGCCACAGGAGATCTTCAGGAATTGGGTTTGTTCGAATGGAACAACGTTCGCCTCCAGCTTGGTAATTTCGCAGTTTTCCCAATATATTCTCGCAACGTTTTGCTAGAAAACCGATTCATTTACTCGCAGTTTTTCACACATAATATTTGATAGACTCACCTTTACGTTGAAGTATTTGGATACTATGGCTTCCGCTTTGATATTGTTGCATTTTAGTAATTTCGTTATTTCGTCGAAGTTGCAATCACCGAAACAAAGAGTGGTAAACAATGATAGAATTAAAATACGAATCAACATTTTGGTTGTTTCTCATAAGCCGCACTGGACTACGAATAAACGAGTTTATCCTCAAGTCAAGGTTATGATTGTATGATCGTAATTTCCAGTTTACAGATTACTTGACCTTAGTATTATCGTTTGCAGCACCGAACGGTGATTAATTGAATAATCCAAGATCGAATTTCATTCACCGAACTACAGGACCATGTATATATTTCCGTATATATGCAATTGTAAATAAATACAATTTATTACAACATAATTTTTGTCTCAAAATATATCGATAAATTAATCTATAATTTTGTACCAAATATATAACATAAATTAATTAATGAAGTGAATAAAACTATAAGTTTTCTATTTTGCATTCTGTTAAGATTTAAATGTTGCTGAAACAGGTTTCACTGGATCATTTATTTTAGCATTAAGTAATTATTAAATATTGAAAATAATTGCAACTTTCTAGTAGCAGATCGGTGTCGATCGTCTTCTAGGAATTAGAAATGCTCCATCGTTTTATTATTGGATTTCTTTATTTCCTTCATGCATTCATTAATTCTAAGAGTTGCGGTACATAAAAAAAACGTAAAATAATAATATACACTAAGAAGAGAAAAACAACATTTGAACTATGAAAGTTAGGAGCGTGCGTCGCTCATCTTCAGTCACACAATAAATACGAAATGATGGAATGTATTATAATACAAAATTCAGTAGTGTTGATGGATCGAATGCGGATGGGAGTAATGTCCGGAATGCGTGGACCTGGGAACCGTCCTTTGCGAGAACTGCGAATACGTATCGTCCTGTCCAGGATGCATCATCATCACAGGATGCAGATTGAGCGATTTCCTTGAACCAGCAACGCTTCCCGCATCGTTCACGAAAGCTCCGTTCATCTCGCCTGAAACACGAAAAAAAGCATCGTTAATATCGTTCGTTTTAGTAAGTGAAACATTTCACCTTTGAAGAGACTGGCCGGTGCGTATTGCGGGTCAGGTTGAAGCCGGATGTGTCTTGTAGCCAGGATGAAGGCTAAAATTGAAAGAATCACTGCATCCAGACATCCTATTGCAGCAAGAAGATATGCCCATCTGATACCGCAATTGCCCAGGACGTATTGATCTGATGGTCCGCATATTCTCACCACGTTGTCCTCGGACCAGGCCAATGGAAATACCGAGCATCCAGTGATCATGCAAATCGCTGCAACAAGAATTTAATGTTATAATAAGATTAAATAAAAATGGTAAAGAGTAGATAAACGCAAACTTTTCTTTTCGGTTACGAGATGTCTCAGATTCAAAACCTAGCCAAACGAATAATATAACTTTTTCCAGTATATCATGTAAATGGTAAAAAATTCAAAAGATCCAATAAAATATCTTTATCTGGTTCATTGGTCTAGGACAGTGTCTGCCAAATTGTGTACCGAGGCACACTAGTTTTTTTTTTTATTAAGAATGTTATTTATTATGAGCAAGTAGAAATGGTAAGATTTATTTGTAGCTTTATAAACTATATTCAAATTGTTCATATAGTTACTTTATAACTATCCATATCATTAGGTATGCTAAATCAGACTTGAAGGAATTATCATTGTTCTAAAATTTCCTAATTGATTAGATGTGAGTGAGTGAGTGAGTGACAAATAAAATGCATGTACAATGTAAATTTAAAGGATGTATTAATATGAAGAATGTGTTCCAGTTGAAACTAATCATTTGATTTATAAGTATTTTCAAATTATATTTCATGAATTTCATTCAATCGATTAACATTTCCTTCATTTTGTATTAGAATTAGTAATCGAAATACATATTAATTGCAATTATAAAATTAACATAGTATTAATAGTTTATAGATTTTGGTCAGCTAGTTTAAATCCGATGAACTGTGTTTTGAGAAAACCATCATTGGAGATGACACAACCCCATTAGATTTAGCGGCAATTAAAGGTTAGTGATTAATCTGAATTGATTAAAAAAAAATTCGCATTGCGTTGAAAGTCTTCCAATTTCTTCGCTAATCGATTGCATAGCTTCTATTAAAATGTGCATTTTCCAGTACTTGAGAATCGTAATTGAGAAATTCGCGTTAATTAATTAAAAATTTTGGACGCTTACAAAATGGCGGACCGAAGTTTTCCTCCAATACTTTATTTTGTTTAATTGATACCAACGCATTTTTGTTGCAAACAAAAAGTGATGTCCCTATGATGTAGTTGTGCGCGTCCCTTTCTTAAGTCAACATCATTTCATTAGATGTGCGCATTCATTAATTAATTTTCGGGGTATTCTCATTAATTTTAATTGGAAATTTTATAGCCGCGGTTCCGAACCGTAACCAGCGATGACGATGCTGATTAATGGCGAGCAATTCAAAACTTAATTTCTTGATTCGCATGGAATTGCAAGACCGCCTGTGCTAAAACCTTCTCGAGGTGCATCCGTTAAGGTGGTTGCTCGTATCCGAAATATGCCAGCAATAGCCGACAGATCACAGCGGATCTAGGGGCTCGTGTTTTCCTCGAAATTTCATTCTTTTGTCTTGCCACTGGCTAAAATTTAGTCTTACATTCTGCTCTTCGGCTCTTGTTTTTCAACCATGAGTGCAGGATATTCTATAATTTTGGTTAGCCATTTTTGGTTAAGCAAATTCGTTTTTCTATCAGTTTTTGGAAAGTTTCTCATATTTCCAAAATCCGAATATTATATGTTAGTGTGTGTTGTTTTGGTTGGAATGCAAACGAGCTCGCAATTGTTTCTGTATGTTTGAAAGTATGAGCAAAAGTGTTTCGATTTGTGTTTGATTTTGAATTGTGTTTCCCCTTTTGTTATTACAAAACACGTTCAAATTTATTTTTAATTATTTAATATTTTGTTAATAATGGAAGTTATCATTTTATTTCAAAATTGAAACAATGCGATCAATTGCTATTTGTTAACTTTTAATTTAATTTTAAATCTTCTCCTAATTGAATGGTGATTTCGTGTCAACTCACGATTAATAAGCATGAGTCGTTAGTGGCAAATCTAACGTATTTATCAGCTTTTTATGTTTCTGCTTTCAGGGGTGGATCTAATGTATCCACCGTGCCCGAAAACTCTTCATTTAAACAGTCTTCATTCAACAAGACTTGACGATAGACTCTCTGCACGATTGTAGATTTGTATTAAAGGATGTTTCAGTTACCCTCCCCCTTAGAGCATATCTCAAAGGTTATTTAATTATAGTTTTAAATTATTCCTAGGGTCGTGAAATGGTTGCACACTATCAAGATCCACCTGCAGCCCTCCTCGTTTTCAATTCAATCGTATATTAACTTTAATAATTAAAAGTAGCTTCAATTTTTAGAAATCTTTAGTACATTATTGGGATTGGTTCCCTTCACTCCACCCGGTGCTATGCCTATTATGGGGGTGCCGGTAATTCCGCAGACTAGTCAGTTTTACTGACAGGGTCTCTGCCGGTCCCAAAACCTTCCTTCCTCCTCTAGCCTTATGGTTAGGCATTTAGTATGGATCGAATGAGCTTTTGCTTGGCTCACGATTCTCTCACTCCATATCAATTTTGGAGTTTTCTTCATTATTTCGAGTGATTTATCGTCGGTTGTATTGTATTAATGTGTAATGTCTGTGAGGATCTAACGTATTCCTACGTGTTTCTCTTTCAGCAGATAAAGTTCACCTCTGAACTGTTGCTTCACAGCAAAAAGTAACAGTTTTGCTGTGAAGGTTCAGGTCTTGCTGCTGGGTCGGGCACTCCGGAGGTGGACCAAACTATAGAATTTGACAGCAAAAACCATAGACAAATTATATAATTAGGCCGCAATTGATTATCATAAATGTCCAATTAGACACTTAAGATAATACCATTGCTAGAGAACTAATTACTACAGTAAAGTGCAATTTACTATAATAGGTAGTTCTCTCTTTCGTTAGGTTAGATTAAGTTATATTTGTAATACGCCCATTTTGCCTATATTCCTCTTTAGTTTTAAGTTAACACCTCACTCACTCTCACTAACCAATCCGAGGACTCTCCATCCTTTCCTAGAACCGCCGAGTTTCCGGTTCGCATTTATCCTTATCCATACTATGTCCCCTTACCACGAGGAAATAAATAGGTCGTAATTTATATTTTTAATTTGTAAATAATATAAAAAGTAATAAGAAAACCATATTATATAAAGTATTATGTTTATACTAATATGTACATAAAAATATTTAAAAAAAAATAAAACAAATTAATGAAATAATATGGATTAATAACAATACTAAAAAAAAGTAAAAAAAGAATTAAAAATAAAAAAATGAGACGTTCCATTTATACCTCTCCTGTTAAATATTATAATGATGTTCAATGTGCAATGCAAATTTATTTGCACAATATAGATTGTGTAAACGTATATTTCGTTCATGTTTTGTATCGGGTGTTATTTTTGTGTGTTCTGTTTCGGGATTGATTTAATTTTGTTGTATGTTTTGTCACTAATCGTTACCTGCCCTTTCCTTCATAGTATTTCCTTCTATCCTATTTACTTTTTTATCTTCTTTCGAAGATGATAAGCAGGTATCAATTCAAGCGCAAAACATAGCCACCGAATTGATTCAAGACCGTCTTGCATTTAACCTTCACGAGGTCGCAAATATTTCATACAGAAAATACTACGGATCTCGTTTTGATCCACTAGATTTACCATACGCTGGTTTATCTATGGGATTAAGATTAAATTCTCTATTAAATATTCATGCAATTCATAAGTTATACAGGTACACGTGTTTTGTCCATTAAATTCAGTTTTGTCTTAGTCGGCAACCCGCGGCTCTATAGATGGGAAACTGCGGCTCTCAGCTCTCGTATCAGTGACTATAATAGCTACGTTCGAACATTTATTTCATTAGTAAAAATAACGATAGTAATGCTATGTGTGACTCCTTAGACTTTTTCTAATACCATAATAATTGCTCTTTTCTTCCAAAAAATTACTAGTATATACAGACAGGTCCAACGTGAAAGTTTTAAAGATGTTCGAAAAATCAGGTTAAAGCATGGGAGTTTTCACATTTACAAAAAAAAAATAAAGTGAAAGAGCAAACAGTTACTGAGCGAGCGGTAAATCAATTTATTATTAAATAACATTATTATTATATTTGCACGAATCGAGAAACAGAAATAGAAAACAGAAGTAACGGATGCGTTTATGCAACTGTTTGCGTAACATTTTCGAATTAGCAATAAAAAAAACTTAATTATATTAAATTAATGAAAGGTTAATAATAAGTTTGTATATTGGAAACTTACGCAACTAGTGCACTTCCATGTGAGATTTTATGAGTCATTGAACTTCAAAAAAATTTGAATGTTTTTTTTTATAATTCTAATATAAAAAAAAGATATTTTCTCAGATTATTAAGACTTTCTTTCAATTAATTATAATTACAGTAGTAATAAAAGAATCTTTAATGTGAAAACAAAATTTTTGTTTGTATAATTTTTAATAATAGCGATTTTGTTTACTTTGCTAATTGCTAAATTACTTTCTGTGAGATTACATTCTTGTATAAAAAATATTAAGTTATGGAAGGAATGGAATGAAAACGCGTTTCACATTTGACCTGCAATTTTTCATGCACTTTCCAAGTGTTCTTATTATTGCGAAACGCAATTTCTATCACTTCGAAAGTCGATGGAAAAGAACCATTCGAACGCGGAAACTGAGGACAAAATAAAAGGAGTTCACGCTTTGTTTGCTTTTCGGTTGAAGCACCGAATCGATGCGCCTCGAAATGACAATTATCCCACCGCGATAATCATCGACGAAAATTGGAAAGTGTAACTGAATTGCGCAACGATTTAATCGCAACCAAGTGAAATTAATCCGCTCGTAATCATTCCAATCATAATATTATTAAATGGATGGCAATTACCACAGATCACAGTTAAATTGCCGTCCGGACGATTTATATGAAAGTACTCAATTACCTATGAAGAAAATAATATAAAACGAAGGTATCAATACGTAAGCCACTTTCGTTGCTGCTGCTGCTGCTGCTAAGTTCATTTCCGAAGTTGCATTTCTTTGGGCGTGTTTGAAAGTAATTGTTATTGGATTTCTGGCATATGCCAAACGCGATTGCTGCGACTTCCCGTGTTAACGTTCGTTTGTCTCTGATGGACGTTCACATTGTTTTACAGTTTGTTTCCTAACTGTAGATGCATATCATATTGTTTTTTGTTTTGTTTATTTGTTTGTGTTTTGTTTCTTCTTGCTAAGGAAACAATGAGCGACAGATTCGTACAGTAAAACAAGTCTAAATCTTCATTTCAATTACCTACCAACATCTCTAATTAATCATGCACGTTCACTCGATTCGCGTTAAGTAAATCCGTATGTTTCGTCATTCAATGCAATTCAGCATGCAAATCGTGTATTTGTGAATGTTGTTAACCTTTTTCCCATTCCATAATAAACTTAAATTATACTTTACTAATATTGTGAAATAATTGTATGTGGTTACAATAAATGAAAGAACAAACTCATAAAATAGATCAAAAAACTTTTTTACTATTACCCCAAAATATATTCATTTACACCGGTATGATCCCAATATTGGAATTCCAATATTTGTTTATGGTTACATACAATTTGACAATTTTCTGACGTACGGCGGATATATTCGCCCAAAGTCATGTTTTTTTATTAAGCTTTGACGTTATTTCTGTATAGATGCTACCTCAGTTATCAAAACCCGCCACTTCATAGCAGTTTAACGGTGTCAAACTGATTTGAAACCGGACTAATCGAGGACTTTCAAACGACATAATAATAAACAACACAATAAGAAACTTGATTTTATGAAGAGGTTTCTCTTTATACAGTGCTGATCATTTATAATTTTGTGTACTATTTTTTTATAAATTTATTTACATTTTGAAATTTTCAAACTGGATTATATTTTCTTGTAATAATTGATTTTATTTGCTTTTATGTCTGAAAATAATAAAATTGAATCTTGATTAATTCAATGATTATGCATAGTTTTAGATAAAATATTCATAGATAATAAATGAATAAACCTTGTCTTAACATTATAAAATGATAATCTCAATAAATGACAATATTTTCGAAATTATAAGTATTACAATTTTTTGTGAACTTCGATGTTTTAGTAGATTATGATGAAATCATGAAACGGTAATTTCTGAACTTCTAGTAGACATTTTTAAATGATTTTTTTTTAATGCTAGATTGATTTAAGTTGTTTTAGCATTATATTCAAAATATGTTGGATTACTTAGAGAAACTATTGAGAAATGCAGGTGCAGACAATTGAGAATCTGAGTGGGTTATGAATAAAACACAAATGTTGTAATGGTTTTAGTTAAAGCATTGTTTGAAGGCGTGCGAAATTAAGAAGAATATGAATGGTCCTGTAAACCTGGTTTCGGAGAACCGGATTCGAGGTGTATTGAGTAACGCACGTGTATGGAACGTAACTTGCAAAAGAAGAAACGGTACACAGAATCTACCTGCACCGAATATTCGAAGGTCGCTTCTGACTAAATGCAGTAATATTTCCATTTGGTGAATGTATCGATTAGTCTCAAGTTTCTCTCGATTAAAAAGTAAATTGACATTTACCGTTACCCGCAATTAGCATGTAATGAAATGGCATCAGTAATAGGTTATTATTAGATCGTTGAAAAGTAAAACCAGTTTTCAATTCTGCATTCCTGCGGGAGGATCGGTTTTCCGTTCCGATCCGGCGTTGAACTCACCAGAGATTAGCTGCAGCCAAGCACAGATGTGGTAGACGGTGGTAGAATGGCAGAAGATGAAGAGAAGCATCGCGCAAATGCTGAGGAGGGCCGTGCAGACTGCTGCACCCACAGCAACCGTCGCACCTTGGAAGGCATATCTGGTACTCAGATAGAACTCATCCAGGCGACCCTTGCAGGATTCCCCGTTTTCCTCGGCGTAGCACTCTGCCCAAAGTCCGAATTTCCCTGGTCTTTCTCCGTCCACGTTCCCAATCCATTCTGGTGTCACGAAGGATACCACTCCGATGATGGCATAACAGATGGTGAATATTGCCCAGAGGACACCGATCGCCTTCGAATTGCGCACGTAACTCGTCGCGTAGATTTGGGTCGAATCGACATACTCTATTTTCGAACCCATCTTCTCACAGCTCTTTTTGATTTCTTCTCGTCTCGTAAAACGTTTTAAGACATTGCGTGCTCTCTAAGATGGCCGTGGTAACACTGAAAGCGGCATACTTAGCCTCTCTAGTCAACAACTTACCATCCCACCACTTATTTCCACGACAAAGACACGTTCGTTCGTCGTTGCACAGTATGGAACACCTTTTGCATCTCGCATCCAAAACAGTTTAATTAATTGTTTGGTGAACATTTCCACATACCAACGCAATTAACCCGATTACATGTTTATCGCTGCAAAGGTTCCTCCAAAGAGAAAATAGAAGAAAATGGACCAAACGCATAACATATGCCACCGAATTTGAAAACCAAATTCAGAAAATTTCCTAAATAAATATAATTATCGAGAGAAACAAAGTTTCTCCAATAACAAACGAAAACAATGCATATTTTTATAAGTATCATGCGTTAAGGTAATTTTAAAAATATTTGAAGTTAATAAATTCAATTTAGTTTCAGAGACGGCAGCATCAAAGAAATATTGTGCATTGGGGCTAAATAATAAGTTGCACCCCCTTCAAAGCGGCCAAATATTCAACAATATCCAATAATACAGTTAATTATAGCCCTTTACTGCAATTAATCTTTTTTGTTTTATTATTATAGTTGTTGTGAATGAAAATGTTTATTTTATTTGACTGGTGGAATAAAGATTATTATTATTCATAAATCATGTAAATATGTTAGATTTCTAATAAATATTAACAGTATTTGATTAACTACATATAATGAATGTGCTATATGTGTTAATGAAAAGAAATAGGCAACTTCTTAATCGCTCTTTATCAATGATGAATAAGTTGCCTACATTGTAATGTTTTATTTTATACATTCTTGTTGTTTTTAAGCAGAAATTCAACGTACTAGCATTGTACGATAGTGAGATAATTTATAATTATTCGTAATAAGTAAAGTTGTTAATGAATGAATAGTTTCTGGAATCCCATTAGAAAGTTGGGTAGGAGCCTCTCCAGTTTTTCTTGTGCTCCGCCCATTTCCGACTGCGTGCTGACAACGTTGCTTTAAAAGTCAAACGTATTAAATTTTCCCTAAAGCATTGGATCTTGCCATGTGTATCTTTAGATCACTCTGCTCCAGATTCTCCATATGGAATAATGTGCCTGGCAGTGGAATAATGTCTGTGTGTGCAATATCGATACGAACATTATAATTGTAAATTAGTTTCACCTCAACATCCAAAGCTACAACATGGCTGCAAGAAGGGTTAGGATCAAAGGGATAGCAAACATCCCTCAGAGGAGGAAGAACAATGAGCTGAGCACAAGTGAATCACCAAGTCCTCCTTTAGAGGAGACTGCACCTCCGACCAATCAACCTGACATCTCAGAACAGGCAGCTGGCAAGGATCAATTGGAGCAGCATGTCGCAGAACTCACACCACCAACACAGCCCATTATTGATCCTCCCGTCACCATTGCTGCAACTGAACAAGCCCAAGAGACAACAACTGCTAAAGAGACAATCCAGTGTGATACAGACACTACAACAAAAACTCAAGTAAATACATCATCAACTGACAGTTCCATCGAAACATCATCTGAAGTTAAACCAGCTGTACCTGATGGTAAAGTTAATACTCAAAATGCAAGCCAAGAAACTAAGAAACCCTTGCGACGTAAGTTCATTAAGCCAACAATCTCTGTTGCTGCAATTAATGGACGAGCAAAGAGAAAGGAGTCTACTAACATAGAGAAACCACCATCACCACCAATTGTAAGGGAAGAAGAAATAAACCTTAATGAAACAATTTTGCCAACATGCAAAGAAGCTCCTGTTGAAACTGCCAATAATAATTCAGTGATTCACCCAGTCCAAGGTATTTATTATTATCTTATTTGATTATATTTCTTATATTATTTTATTAAGAAAATAGATAAATTGTTATATATGATAGTTGCCAATGATTAGATTATGATGACATTTTTGATTTAAATGCAACTATTGATTTTGCTGCAGTGATGCTGGGAGTCGGCTGCATCTAAATGTAATGTGGTGCAATGTATCTCATAATCAATGCTATAACTGTATCAATATATTTGCTAAAGTAGCAAACAAATTTGTTATTTGAACTTTGCAATTTACAACCAATTAGAGTATTATCTAGAATTACTACTAGATCAGCAATAATTCCTTGCACATGAGAAATTGAACCATAAAATGTTATTGACACAGCTTAAATTATTACTATGAACATGACTTTTATTTACACGTAAATCGATATTTACGACATTGAATTGATAGATTAGACTATTTCACTTGCTTGCAAGATTATCCACTTTTATTATTATAGGTTTTTTTTTATTCTCTGAATGTTAATTCGCAGATAATAAATATATGATGATGATTATGTGAATTAAAGCCCAATTGCATTTAAATTGTAATTGCATGGGATTATCGTAGCGGAAACTTTTAATGAAATAAATAATGCATCAATTATTAATTGGATCGCTGTTGCAGATATTACGAAATTGCCGAGGCCCGAGTTCATCGAGGGTTCTAAGCCGTGCTCAGATAGTGAAAGACCTCCACCTGCGTCCAGTCCTAGTAAACTTATAAATAGATCTCGCATCAAAGCTGTGCCTAGATTAGGACAACATAGGAGTAGCTTCAGTATTGGCAGCGCCAGTGAATCTGAAGATGAATCCAGGAAGAGTTACAGCAGTCGCATCAGAAATGATTCGGTAATATTCTCGAGATTTATTATTTTATGAAGGAATTAACTTTTTATATTTTTTTTTTATTAGGTGTCTTCTGTGGTCTCCGAATATCAGACCAATGAGGTTCCGGTTCACAAAAGTAAAGAAAGCACGGGTAACGTTCAGAAGAAGACTAGAAGGTCGCAACGGGCGAGAAATCTTGCTGAAGCCCGTAGGGAGTTCATAAAGAAATGCGGAAACGGACAGCCAGACAGGCAGAGATTGACAATGATGGATTTGCTATTTTACAATCCCACTACCAATCCGATGAGGTGAGTTTTGTGATGCGTTTTGTAGACTTTACGTGACTGATGGATGATATTTTTAAGCCGGAAAGAGAAGGTTTCAATCAGTGAGAGCGTGATGGAAAGCGAGGAAGTGGATGGTAACCTTGAGGAGAGCAGTGAGAAAGGAGAATCCAATGATACGACGGAAACGAATAACGATCAAGAAAACGAAGTGCCTGCACCCCAGATTATGATTGGGGCAAACGGAGAGATTATCATCGACGAGAAGAGTTTGCTGATCGAGAGTTCCGACGTGGCGAAAAATCGAGAAGTCCTGAAGAACTCTAGGGTCATCGACGGCGATAATCTTGACTCTCCGTACGCGACGTACAGACGCGCTAAAAAGTACAAAGGTTGGAGCAACGTGGAGACGCTCAGATTCTACAAAGCAATAAACACAATTGGAACTGACTTCTCCATGATGGTGCAGCTGTTCCCCGGCCGAACACGTCAGGATTTGAAGGTCAAATTCAAGGCGGAGGAGCGGCGCAACAAGGATCTAATTGATAAAGCTGTGTACAATCCAATTACGTTCGATTTGACTGATATGTTAAGAGAGGTGGAAATGGAGGAGTTTGAGAAGAAGCAGAACCAGAAGCGTCTGAAGGAAATTGAAGAATTCAAGCAACAGAAAGCCGAGACTAGATGTAGCAAGAGGAAAAAGAAGAAGGAAGTTCTTAAAGATGCTCGTAGTGATGAAGACGAACCTGTATATAAGAGGCCGAAGATGAGTGCGAAGAAGTACCTCGATGGTGGTATCAATAGTTTATTCGATAGTGATAACGATGATGAGGCTAGCAAGGATAGCAGCACCGTCGTCGAACAACCGGCTGCAGTCGCGGACACTCCGGATCTTCAAACTACTATTACTGAGGACACTAATGATAGTCAAAATAGTTTAGGGTCGGACAGTATGCAATGCAATGAAGATGCAGATTTATTCGAGAATAGCGAAGATTTGGTACCTGGGTCGATAATTCACGTGACTGAAGAGAATGAGGACGGCGAAACTGTGGATAGGATTTATAGTATAGGTGAGAATGGTGAGAAGATACTTGTGAGTCTGCAGCAAGATATTATAGATCGTTTAGTACAAAATAGTACAGAGTGCGAAAACAACAAGGAAAATTTGGATATGAACGAAACCGGCAACAATAACAACGAGAAGCCTAGCGTCGATCCACCGAATTCCGCAGATATAGACATTGACAATGCGGAAATAATTCTGCTTGACGATAATTCCGATCTGTTCGGTTTCGATGTAAATAATAGTCATACGATGCTGCAAACCTCCGCATGAGCACAACAAGCAAACATATATTTATTGATTTCGATATTGGAAATCTCCACATAGAAGTGATATGAATTAAATTATCTATCCGGAAAATTCATTGAATAAATAAAAACTGCCTTTGCCTTTGCTAGAATAATTATATACAAATATATTATATATATATCGGATTGTTATATACACACACCCCACAATAAAAATTATTATAACCATGTTCTTTTTATACCGATTTGTACTTGTTAAAAATGGTAATGTAAATTGTAATTCGTAATATTTCAATAATAATATACAAACGTTGTTTAAAAAAAAAACTGTCTCTGTATTTATTTCAATGTACTTCACGAGGCTGAAGTCTCCAACATTTCGAAAGGAAGCCACCGAGAGCTTTCCAAAGCACCCCACAAGTTCACGTCCTGCTCGATCATCTCCTTGTTCATTTTGTCCACGTCCAAAGGCTGTGCGTGATCTGAAAACACAATAACCATTTAACTTTTCTACGTGAGAACATCAATTTCGTGAGAATCCAATACGAACCGACGAGTTCCAAATCTTGGTCGATCTTCTTCTCAACGTGAGCTTGCATATTAACCATTGGTGTTCCATCAGCGTTCAATTGATTTGCATCTCCCTGCTCATAATAACTCTGCAAAAACGAAAATCATTAAATTAAAATAAACTAAAAAACAATCAACTAATAATATCTGACCTGCCAATTAGCGTAATTCTGCCAATAAGCTGTGGCGTCGTAATACTGCTGCGTGTAATCCGTTGAACCTGCTGCTTGGAACGTGGTGGTAGCAGACGTAGGAGAATCCGTAGCGGTTGTAGAACCTTTCGGCTTAGGAACTGCATTGCAAATCTTTAGAGCCTTAGTCCCAAGTCCTATATACCCGTTCATTGCAGTCAAACTATCCTTCTGCTCTTCCTCGCTGCCGAATCGTACAAAACCATATCCTCTGCTGAAGCCACTGTTATCAATAATAACTGTAACAAATAATTTAACAAACTGCATATTTTGTTTTACTTCAATGATATACCTTTGGCAGTCTTAATGGTGTTGTACTTGGTAGAGAAAACCCTATATAAATTGTAATCATCCACATCTGGGCTCAAATCTCCAACCCAAACAGAGAATTCCCTATCTAACATAGAACGACCTGTATTACTCGCATTGTTCAATCTGAATCGGACAGGAGGTGAAGTGGATGGTATAGCTTTGCCATTCAATTTATGCATGGCATCAATAGCTTCTTCGTCAGTAGCAAAATGCACAAAACAATACCCAGCTGGTTCTCCTGTGAACTTATTCCTCATTACTTTCACGTTCAAAGGGTTTTCACCCATTTTCCGAAACGAATTTATTATAAACGTCTCGGTCATATAAGACTCCAGCTAAAACATATTACATTGAATGCATTTCTATATAAAAAAAAAGTATAAAATTACTTACGCTCCCCATCCATAACTGGCAATGTACCATATTCGTCATCTTATCAATTTAATTACTTTATTCACCTACAAAAATACTTATTATTAAGGTTATGTTTTGATAACACATTTAACACTCATGAAGTTAGCTTGATATTTTAAATTTGGTACTTTTCGTAGTTTTAATATTGGTTCTACTGAATGAACTAACTTTAAAATTAAATGTCGGTTTATTATCGTATACTTACAGCTTCAATAATTTTATTAAAATAAAAAGATAAAATGGCTTTAATTGAAAATAACGGTGATAAGTTATTTAGTTTGTTCAACGAACTTGGAGTGAATTTGGGTAAAACTGATAGAACAGTTGTTAACGGTTGGTTCGATTCGAATTGCAAGGAAACTGTTGATTTTCTCAATTGGATTTGCAACAGCATAAATACCAATAATGTCTTAACTAGTCAAGAAAGCGATGCGTAAGTTACCATAACATAATAATCTTAGTAAATTAATTATTTCATTGTAGCTATGAGCTTTTGCTTGATAATGATTTGCTTCTTTCGAATGAAAAATATGATGCAGCCCTGGAAGATTTGGAAATCAACCATACAGATATATTCAATGTTGAAAATAACTTATTCAATAACGAATGTTTGATGGATGAAATTGCCATAGCTGATTTAGATTTAGATGAAGCAGATCAATCTGTTGCTAATGAACAGTAAGTTAAGGTTATTTGAAAAGTTTTATAATTAATAATTGTATTTATACAGGAAACTTGGTTACCTTTTGAAGAACAGCATGATTAAGAAGAGGAATGAACAAACTGAAGCTGAAGCCAAGAAAAATGTTGCTAAAGATAAATGCATGGTCTTAAGCAATAAGTTGCAAGATCTAAATAAACAATTGGAAGCACAAATACTAAAGTATGGGGAGCATTTGATTAATTATGATATGGTAATTGATTATTTGCAAGTTTATAAGAATTTTGTTTTTGAAGCATTGTTTTTAGGAATCAAATCCTTCTTTTATATCTAGCATACCAAATGAAGAGTACAATTTCTATTGCAGTGATGTTACTTCTGTTATTAACCGAGTGATAGGTAAGCACAAGTCAGCACCAAGCAATGATCTAATCATGTCCAGCACTAAAAATAAACTTCAACAGAGTTTGTTCAATAACACTGAATCCTCAACTATTCTTGAGGAGATGCAGAATCGGTAAAAGTAATGAAAAATTTACAGATTGAAAACATATTAATATTTTTGTCTTTACTTTCAACAGAATTGCAAATAGCATTTTCAAATATGTGCAAGCAAAAAGTCAGGAATATACTTTGGAATCTACACTAAACTATCTGAATAACTTGGATCTATTTGAGGCTTCCACTTGCATTCTGCAGGGCATGTATGTTTCCTATTCATGTTTAAATCTGTTCTTGTTATAATTAAATATGGTTTTAGGGATTTGTATCAAATGGAAGGGATGATAATTTCCAAGAGGGAGCAAGTTAAAACCATCACCATTGATCTGGAAGCTTTAGCAGGGCAAACTTCCAAAAAGTATATTAATTTACCGAAGTTGGCCAAAGCCGAGATGGATTTGAAAGAGATGCAGTATGTTTTTTTTTTTAAATAATTTCAAAGCGTTTTTAAATTATTTATTTTTAGGACGAAAAATGCGTATTTCACAGATTTAAACGCAAAGATCAGCGGCATACTTTCTTTTCAATTTCTTACTTATCTGTTTTACGAGAGGGAAAATAAGAATATGGAAATTACGGACGGTTTCTTTAAAGAAGTGTACCAATACATAACGTACGATTTGAAAAATTATGAATTGAGAACGGTTAGAAATTTTATAAATATTATTTTTATTTTGAGTAAAAGTAATATTATTTTTAGGAAATGATGAACAAAGTTATTGAAGATTACAACGAGTACAAGAGTAAACCAATTGTAAAGCAGTATAAGATCCTGCAGGATGTGATGGAGTTGCTCCAGGGTAATAGTAAGAAAGAATATGATTTGCAGGACGTTGTTAATGTGGTGCAGCAGTTCCGAGGCGAGTGTAGAAACCTCGAAAAGCGAGTTTATCTAAATGATGTCGATACGTTTAAAGCCGACTGTGAACCGATGTAAGTTTCAACTCTCGTAACACCATTTCAAATTAATAATTACGTTCGTTAAAGTGTGGAGAATATAGAAGTGATGAAGCGGTTTTTGATGAATGGACCCACTTCAGAAATCATCTCCATACCGTATAATCTGTACACTACTTTCAAGAAGGTGTCTAATGTGTTGGAGCAGCAATTGTCGATCATCAAAACAACCACAATTCTTACGAACGATACTGAGGTGAATTCTGTTTTATGTTTGCTTTTATAAATTTATTTATATTTTTTCTTTGCAGAAGAAAATATCTAAGGATAAGTGGTTTAACATCAGGCGGCAGCTTTGGATGTACTTTCTGATTTCACCTAAGAAAGTGCTTGGTTTCATAGAGCATATTGAGAATGAGTTGAAGATGGTTACCAGATCCAGGTTAAATGTTTAAAATTGTTCTTTTTTAAATGTTAAATGTTTAAAATTGTTCTTTTTTAATTAGTAAAATATTTATTTATGTATATATCTATTAAATTAATGGTGCATTTTAATCCTCTTTACTATAGTCAGCGAATTTGAAATAAATGTGACAGAAATAAGCGTGTGGGTTGGGTTTATTATATTTATTACATAAATCAGTAGTATTTACATAAATAGTATGTATAAAATTGCGGCAATGCTTATAGATAAATAAAAGGGCTAATCTTAACTGGCAGTAAACTTGTGTACGTTTAAGTAGTACACGTTTCTGTACAAGTACGTCACGTATAATTGTAATAATCGAATTCGTGCCGTCTGTAATATTTATGTGGCATAGCCTCAGGATCCATGTCCATATTGACGTGTATCGGATTGTTCAAGTCTATATCGAACTTCTTCCCGGAACTCGCAGCCAATTGACCTGCAAGAATTATTCTCCACTGCAACTCTGTAAATGTCAATATAAACGAAGCACTTACCCATGATGGTCTGATTCAGTTTATCGATTATTTCATCCAAATCCTCCTGGTGCAACGTGGCCGTAACTCTCGTACTGTTTCTGTGCAATGATCTCTTGGTCCTCGATAGAAGCGGCAAAGTGAACTCGCTTTGCGATACAGGAGTATCGTCAACTCCAAATTCCTATAAAAATGATAATTTTAAGTCATATTTAGTTAGTTAAAAACAGATTCATACTAGGCATTTTCCATTGATGCAGTAAGCTTTTTTTTCGCTCATTCCGCGACTACAGTCCGTTCCAAAAGGGAACCATCCTTCCTCTCCGTTCACCAAGTAAAATCTGTGGGAGATGCTCTCATCTTGGCAGGCCACACGACATGGTCTGTCTGGATCTTCTAAATTGGAATTGTTTTGTATTAATATTTAATATAATTGTTTTACTTAAAAGTGCTGGTGTCTTAGGTATTACCTAAGGCCGGGGAGATTTGCATGCCCAATCCCGAGAGGCGTCGAACTCTCTCCTTGTATTTCGAGCAGACAGACGATGCGTGTTGGAAGGCGGTTTTCACTCGGCCGCAGCCCTTTAAAAAAATATACATGTAAACGTGACATACGTATAATTAATTGCCGAGAGTTGTAATCAATGTCATGGGAATATTGCTGCCTCCTTTGCATGTTTCATAGTAAAAAATCGATGGTTGTTGTTTAATAAATACTCACGTATTGATCTGGTTGACACAGCTGTATGCTGGAGCGGCTCGACTTTAACTTATTTACGACAAGCCTTATACCTGAGCCAGGTGTGACGCAATTGAAGTGGCACCCACTGGCGCTCACCCAGTGGGAAGCTCCTTCTCTCCTTCGAAGACCAGTTCGGAACATAATCTCATTGTCTTCTCTGTCGATGGGACAAAAGTCAGGCATCTGTGCGAACTGCGCTTCTTCATAAGGATCACATACAAAATCCTGTAAAATAGATATATCGAATAGATTACTCTCAAGTATTTGATAATGAAGGAAGTGAATATATAACTCAGAATGAGTATATTACCTCGCATCTGCCATTAATGCAGTGACTGGGTTTTCCGTATTTTGATCTTCTCGTTTGGCACACGGTGCCATCTGGAAAGGTCCATCCACGACTTTTGGTACCTCCATTCCGCTTTTGGCACCAAACTAAGCAAGCCTCCTCCGCTGAAGAATGTTAACTTAATGTTAAGCATAATGAACATATTACGAACTTACGATCAGAGCTAATCCTTTGCAGGCCGAACCCGTTGAGATCTTTGTCGACTTCCTTGGCGCGCGTGCAGATCTGATCTGCAAACTCCTTGATCGTCAGTCTAGGAACGTTGTGGCATTGCTGAGCATTGCAGGCCAGGTACTTCCTATCCACGCCATCGCAACCTTCGCCCGTACCCTGAGGGCTTCAACTTGCGCTGAATTCACTGTTATCGTTTAATAAAAATGACTTACCTAGGATTGTTGCACATCCTCGTTGCAACCATTATCCCGGTGCTTCCCGATCGCAACCTTCCCTCTTCCCCAAAGAGGCATCCCGAGGCGCAGTCACTGAACGACCTCCACTTGCTCCAACCACCGTCCACGCGCTCCAGACGCGCTGAAGATGCCTGCACCGAGTTGTAAGATGCAGTCATACTTAATCCCTTGACTACGCATCTGCCTCCGCGACACCACTAAAATATATACAATTATTAAAAATCCATAAAAACTAGTTTAACTATTTACTAAATTATGACCGCAGAGCGTTCCTTCGAGAGCAGGATGCGAGGTCCATGTGTACCTCTCGCGTTCGCAGTGCAAATCCCTGCAAACATCGTCCAACGGTTGTTGCGACGAATGCAGACTTCCTCTACCATACTTCAGCATACCTAAAAGAAGCTTATTGCAATCAATAAATTAGTAACAAATAAGTAAAAGCTACATTGCTGATCAGCGTCGAAGCGTTCTCCAGGTAGAGCACCCTCAGCCCTGTGATCAAGTTGCCCAGCAGAGCTCCCATGATCCAATAAACATCTCGATTGCGGCGTGCTAAAACGATTGATATTTAAATTTAAATTAAAAAAAGTGTAATGAAACGTACTCTAAAAACTTCTGTAGGTATCGTCTGCTGCAAGAGGACCAGGTGATTTTCCCACTTCCAAGCGTTGGCGACATAATGTAGCTACTAGGATCGCAATCGTTATCCGCCAAAGGACCATCGTGTCTCATACCCAAACTTAAAAAAATAATAATTAAAACGTGGTATTATTCAAGACATTTTTCATATGTTTACTTATGACCTATCTCGTGGGCTACCACGTAGACGCTCTCAAAGTGTCGACCTTCGTTCACTGTACAACTACTAGTTGTAGTGCACATCCCTGCAACTGGTGCTAATCCTGAAATTTAATACACGATAATTTTAAGGAAACATCGAGAGTACTGAATGGTTACCAACTACTTGGCTCGAGATCTTTCCGTGCTTTCCTCTCACATAAAGGTCGAGCCCTGTGAGTATCAAAGCATGATCCCAGTGCTGAGGCTCACGATCTCCAACTGGATTCTTCGTCCTCTGCCAGTTGCAAAAGTTCGAAAGATATCTGTCAATATCCGGTGAGCGGCTTAGATCAGATGCCTCCTCCTTCAGAATCTCCAAACGCTTCAGCAGGAAATTCACAGGTCTTCCCAAACTGGGATCGTGGTACAGCAACTGCACCTAAAAAAAACATGAAGATTGAATTGGCTGTTGATCATTTAACTTCGGATGTTTACAGCGTTGATCATAGCCAGGACGAAGCGGATGAGCTCTCTTTCTGTATCGATTGGGTAATTACTCTTCATATGCTCGAAGAGATCGCGATCAACAAAAACTGCAGTCTCCACAAAGACGGGACTTTCTGTGGAAAATAAATTCCTCCTATTCCTGTACGCATCTCTCGTTGATCTTTTCTCTCTCCTCTTCATTACCACATTTTTCCTCTTTCTCTTACGATGCGGCTGATTCGCTTCCAAATGAGAGCATTCGCTTCTGTCCTGTTTCATTAAACCTATTGGTTTCTTAATTATTACGTGTGGTCTACAGGTGTCGTTATGGAAACGCGTTGGAAGCGGATTTATGATGTAAACATTCTCATCATCGTAGTTCAACAATCCTCTCTAAAACAAAACATAATTAATAAATCAACAATAAAACATAGTTGAAGTTCACATTCAATTCGAATTAATTATAATTAGCGTTCACATGTGAAATTCAATTTCCATTGACATTAAGTTTTTTTTTTGATAACTTTTCCAAACGCACACACAGACCTGCAATTACTGCGCGAGATTCTGCACAATCGAAAAGTAGGTTGCACCTCGCCGATCTATGCTCAAAAATAACAATTTTCACCTACATTTATATGTACATTACGCGCTACTTTTCACTTACCCTTCAACAAAGAAAAAAGTAATGCATTCATAATTATCACATGTATTATAATAATTTGTATAATAAAAACTCGCACAAAATGATTTAGTTTTGAAACTAAACAAATAAAACAAATAATTTCATTGCCAAGGTAACAAAAATTGAACCTTGTTTATTTATGTTGTCATTGATGATGTACGGACTAAGTGAGTTCCTGTTTCTTGTAATAATCATAGTTTAGTGATGTTGTTTAAAATTCGTGAATTTTTAATATGCTGTTAATAATGTAAGTTAATACGATTAATTTTTGTGAACTTAGCATAATTGTGTTATATAATTAATTTGACAATTATAAATTGGATAACATTTGTTTTTTTTTTCAAAGCCTACTCAGAAATATGATCAGTCTGGTATACTTACAACACCTCCACATAGATTGAGCGCGGTCTTTTCGGATCTGTAATAGCAGCCGACATCGTCTTGGTGCTTATGGTTGAGGATGTGAGAGCCGTTGGCGAAGGTCTCCAGCATCAGGAAATCGTCGGACACGAGTCCCGGACTCGGGTACAGGTTTAAATTCAATTTACCATCGATCGAATTCGAACTCAGCTCCAAGCTGCGAGTGGCAGATCCTGCCTCCGGGATTGGATTTAAAATTGGATATGCTATCCCGTAAATGAATTCTGCAACAATTCAATTTACTTCTTTTACACTTTATTTCCTTTCGCTCTCTCACTCGCTGTATATCCATAATAACATTTGTTTTGCAAAGAAGTTTACGTAAACAACATGCATAAATCGTTATTTGAGATATTGAGAAGCTGTAACTGATATGCAATCAAATTCATAATGTATGTACGTTAGTACAAAATAATTGTAAATCCATTATAATTTAGATTAACGTATATTGGCCTAGAGTACGTTAACGTATTTCAATAATAACATTTGTTTTGTAAACAAGTTTACGTAAACAATATGCATAAATCGTTATTCGGAGATATTGAGAGACTGAAACTGAAATGCATTCAAATACGTGCGCGTAAACTACGTACGTTTGTATGAACATCAATTAAGACAATTGTGTAGGAAAGAATCGTTAATGCATTGTAATTAACGTATATTCGCTTAGCGTACTGCAAATTGTGTACGAATTATGTACGTAAACTGAGTGCATACTGTATGGCGATAAATAATTCAGTGATGATATGATATTATTATTTAATTCCATGGCGCATGCAACGGGCTATTGACCGAGTTACAATCCGTCCACGCAGATCCCTTCGTTTAAGCCGCATTACGGCTTTATCATATCATTGTATCAGGAATAGCGAGCTCGTTATTAATGGAACGGCGCAATTTAATGATCGCCATTAATTCAAAACAAATGAACGCAAAAGTATGCACGTATAAATATATAAATACGCAAAGCCTTCCTGACTAATGAGCCGCATCCACAGAGTCCAATCTGTTTGCATTTAATTCCGGACATTAGTTTTCTAACGAATCGGCCCGAAACCATTTCAAATTGTTTATTTTCTCATCGACGGTTTGTAATTGCTTCTGTTTCTAAACAAACGCTGTGTAATTCTCCCCAATCTAATTCTCATTTTACCAAAACCACAAGTAGATTTGCATTCTAATCGTTGAATAATTTAAGAAAGCCAGGTAACATAATAAGCAAATAATTAACATTAATTTTATTATCTATACAGTTTAGATGTGAAGTGTATTTCCTTTAGTTAGAAAGTTTATCACATTTGGAATATTATTCTACAGTTAATTACAAGAGAAAATTAGTACATTTCGAATGTGACATAAACAATTTTTAGTTTTAGTTTCTTTTTATGACTTTAAGAAAATTTAATACAGTTTTGGAAACATTTTTTTTTTTGCAACTAATTGAAAATCATAAATATTAATTGGATTTTCAAATCTCACAAGTTTTAATTTTTATTCTAATGTAAACTGACCTTTAAAAACTCTGCAATTAAATGAAATGTCAATATATTCAAACTCTCTGTTAATTTCCACTACAATTAGCATTTGTGGTTTGCATCTAATATAGTCGACTTCAAAGATGTTACAAAATGTATTAAGATCAGTGGTGGAACAACAAGTTTTTGTCTACACAGAAAAATAATTATTTAGAAATCCTAATAGAAATCCCTTACAAATCTCATATAATTTCTCATAAAAATACATTAGAAATCTCCATAGAAATCCCTTAGAAAACCTTACAAATCGAATAAAAATCTCTTTAGAATTTCATTAAAATCCAATAGAAATATCACATTTGAGATAAATTTGGTTATTGTTTATAATAACTACTTTTTTAAACTATTTTAAAACACGTATTGTCATTAATTTTGTAAACATTCTACTGAAAAATATCAATAAAAACAAAAGTTGAGATTACAACATTCATTTGAATCAAAGTGTTAGATTTGTAAGTAATATTAAGTAGAATTATTTAGAGAATTAATTAATTTCGTAGCGCAATGAACAAAAAATTTCTAACGATCTTTTAAATGGTACCGCATAGCGGCAGAATGTCTGCAAGAAGATGTCACAAGTGGACTAGAATTTCCCTTTTTCGCAGTGATTATTTTATTCTTCTCTTCCTAACAAACATTTTATATAATTTTAATAAGGCATTGTTGAAGAGGAGCCGTTGCCCAAGAGAGACGGGAGGCAGGCAATTTGCGCGGAATTGTTGATGTGATGATGGTTGGCCAACCAGTTTGCTGTTTGCTGGTAACGGATTATATACACTGCATTTATTTCCGATGGGTTTGATAACCCAATTTCCACAATCTGATTGAATCCAATTAATTATTCAAATAAACGAACATTGTTGTTATGGTAATGAGCGGGCTTCGGATTTGCAATACCTTTACAATTTTGCTGATGCCCATCCAGAAAGTAACGGATCCGAATGGATAAATCAGCGAGCGGAGGAGGAACAGAGAGTTCGCACCGAATGCCCACTCAATTAGCATGGACAAAACCACCGTGTGGATTGCGTAACAGCCGAACGAAGAAATTCACAAAGCGCAAACACAGACAATGAGCAGTTTCGAAAAAATAAAAATAAAACGAGAGCTTCCTAATTACGTTAATCCACTAATCGTTTTCGGGGCGAATATAAAGATGGGTGAGAGAAAACGTTTCACTTTGAAGCTCTGTACAGATGAACGGAATATACAGACGTAATACACAAAAATTTTAACGAGGTGTATGTAATTGGTGTTTCTACAATTTCGACTCGCAACTCGCTCACGTTTCGTGATTAAATTACGTTGTCGGGTCATTTACACGCGGAACTAAGAACCTCTCCCATCAAACAACAATTAACTTAGTTAGTTCTTCACCGAAAACGTTTCTTCCTTTCAATCTAGCGCAACTTACGTAACTAAGGAAAAAGAAGTTTACATAAATTTGTATACATTCGCTTGTCGTCAAACCAATATGCATGTACATATTTCAGTTATATTCTACAAGATTTTTCAAATCAATTTTTTATGCACATAATTACTATTATTAATGCACATACAAACGTACATTTTATCGAGTTGGACAATCTAGCGCAATTTACATAATTAAAAAGAATGTTTTCAGAAGTAAAGTGAGAGCTCAGTTAATACGCAAAAATAAATATTTTATTGTACATTCGCTCTAACGTACACGACATTCATACGAAAGTACAATTTGTCGTGAAACCCCTACATCACATCCATGCATATTTTAATTATAGTTTATTTTTATAAATCCAATTTTATGACAATATTCATATAATGATTGCAGCTATGATTACCGTATCGTCCTTGCAGACGTTGCGCAAGTAATGAGACATAGTTATATATATATATTTTAATATCCGGGTAGTTATTTCCACGATCTGTTTAACCAAAATTTCTATAAATAATCTTATTGTTGTTGTTGTACAGTGATAAATTCAATGGAAATAAGGATGAAAATAGTGGAGATGCCGTAAAAGTGAAAATTGATGAGCGTACTGTACGGTTTCCATTTCCGCTGCATTCGATTTGCGCCTTTCCTTGAGGTCATCCGAGCAGACCTTTCCAATGCATCTCCTCCGACTGCATTACTTTCTTCTTTTGGCTAACGACCTTTGTACACTTTTACTGCCGATCCCAATATGAATATGCATGCAGGAAGGAAGAAACCGTTACAATTCGAGAAACAAACACATCACAGATTTGATTATTTCCTTCGTATAATACCTTTATAAACCGTTTATAACCATGAGTCAATAAACCGGCGAAATTTCCGTTTCATTGGAAATTCGATCGAGCGTACGAAAATATTTTTTTTTTGGATATAGTTTTTATTTAGTAGCGACTTTATTTCAAACTTCCCGGCGATATAGGTATTTAAGTGTGAAATAATAATGTTTTTTTTTTGTTGTTGTCGTGGATGGATTTCCTTTACACAAGAGGATGCGATTGTCGTGGCTTAATTAATTAATATGCGCACGAACTTGGTATGAATTGTAAAAGATCCTGTCCGAGTTTGGAAATATCTCGGATACCACAAGGATCCATTCGTAGACGAAGGTCGTCGGCCTTTTGTAACTGGTAATTTGCTGTAATTCCAAAATCGTGAGATCCAGATGATTCACATTAAATCATCCAATTGATGACCTCGTACTGTTGTATATAATTTCAAGTTTTGAAAGAGTTTCAAATATCTCTTAATACTAAACCTACCGACACTTCATGTATACATACCGTGAGCTGTCAAATGACCGCTTCAAAAAAAAACATATATCTTGTTATAGAATGAGATTTTAGCCAATTGCACATTTCTTGAACAAATTACAGAATTTAACAGTAACGTTGTATAAAGGAAATTCTAAACGAAATTTTATCTGAATAAAAGTGAACAACTATTTTTTTTAATTATTAAAATACTTAACTGTAAATAGTAAAAAATATTAATAACATAATTTCTAAAATAATCATTTAAAATATAGAATGTTTTGTGTTTTTTTTTTCTATATTAAAAGTAAAAGAAGATATGTATATTGTAGAATGAATATTAGCATAAATATTCCGTTTTGCGTGTTTACGTCGCATCATTTTCTATATATGCAACTATTGAGTTAATACGCCTGAAAATTAGCGTTTCATTATTACGCAAGACGCTTAGTTATTATACTGACATACAACTAATTTGTAAGTACTTTTATTATAAACATAACTATTGTTCTGTCAAAGACACTTGTAATCAAATTATTGCATCAATTTGAATAGAAAAATGAAAATAGAGGAATTCAAAATACGAATCAAAGACAAACTACATGTGTGAAAATTGCTAATTACAAACAAACTATTGGTATTTAAAAAAAAGTGATTATCATATATCATGCTGCAAGTTGTGCGACCTTCACATGTTTTTCTTGATTTTTTTTCGCACTAATATTAGATTACTCACTTTATGTAACAAATGTTGACTTGACTTAATTAAATTTAGTCATCTATACAAATTTTCTTCATATTTTTTTTATAAATAAATTCGAATTTAAATCTTTACGAAAATGAAATGAAATTTTAATAATGTAATGTTAAAAGTAATCTTTAAGAAGATGTTGATAGGTGCATAGCAACCGGAAAACGTCATTAGCAACATGTGTCGAATTCTTAAATACTGGTTTTGAGTGCATAGTAATCCCACAGCGTCCTTAGTAACTAATATGAACTAATACATAGCAACAACAAGGACACTTTGTTGTTGCTATGTATTAACAACTTTTTTTGCATCTTTAGGTCTTTAGTATACAACATAGTGTATATTGTTTTCTCAGGAAACTTCATGCATGCTTCAAACTGACTATTGTTGTGGTAGGCTAGTCAATTAACCGAATTAAAGAAGTGAACAGTTCTATTTTATTCGGAGGTGAAACTAGTTATGCTAGTAATAGTACCCAAGTTCAGCGGACGAGTCAAACCGGAAACCGAGCGTCATCGAAATCCGCACTTCCGACTTGGGAGGACGAATCTCTCACGTGACATGTCCCCTACCAATCATTTTTTTTTGCTACAGATGTTGTACCTCTCAGGTCACGGACTCTAACTTTCATTTCGCCCGACATCCACAAACACAATTTTACGGTTGTTACTGTTTTTTTTTTATTGTTTTGTTGTTATTTTGTTTCGTTTCGTTTGCTCGATTTTGCGTTACGCAACTTACCTGAATCGGAGGGGAATCCCATCAGGTGCGACCATTCGTTCGGCGTCAGCAAGGACCTTATATTGTTATCGTCCACCTGTAAACAAGAAACACGTTAAACGCGACATTTCCAAGTGATTATCAATGGAATTTTCCTTGGAAATGCGACCATTCATTCGATGGAAATGTTTGGAAAAAAAAATGAAATGCCGAAGCCGTTGTCATGGTGAAAATATTTTTTTGAAGAATTCGAGCGATAGCTTTAGCAAATTTTAGATTCCAGTGTTTCCTTGGAATAGCTTTCCTGCATTCCCGAAAACAAGCAGCGTGTGATTGCGATTGTCGATTCTGCGTTTTTGTTTCAAATTCTAAGTGAAAAAAAAAGGAAAATCGGTACACGTTTATTGTGTCAAAATAATGAATGGTCTCTGTACAGTACTTGTTCACGGTCTGATGCGATGCGCCGCATATTTATCACGCCGAGCCAATTAATTGAAGCGCGAAATTTTGATGCAAACTGTACGTTCGTATGAACGTCCAGTACGTTCGTGCGAATTACCAATAACGCATTACGTACGTTAACTGAGCTCTTGCTGTATAATCGCATATAATTTCTCGATGTACCGCATGACATACTCCAGATATTAAGGAGCCTAAGATAATGGCATAACTGGTTAGAAATCAATAAGTGTTGAATTTCCATTAGATGCGAGCTCACAAATGTTTTCGGTACCACTTTTTTGTTGTTGTTGCTGTTGCTGCTGCTGCCTGTAACCCAAACGGATGGATATGCACGTTGTGTTGTTTGTTTCCATCGGCCTCGGTTAAACGCTTTATGAACACAAATAATAATTACACGATGCGAGTACAAAACCCGAAATTGTAATAGCATCGGCCGTCCGAAGGTCTGACCTATCTGCATACAGATCGACACCTCATTTTCTATTGCAAAACTTTTCAGTACAAGTCTCGGAACATCCGCGGATTCATCCAATCTTGATCCGATGATTCGAGAATATCACAATCTCCACACGTTAAATAATAACGACCTTATACGAAAATGCCGTAAAATGCAGATAAATCTTCATAAAATTGCTAAAAATCAAGTGTGCGGCTGTCATTTAAAATGCCAGTGAAAGGGCATATTTACTGTAATTGTGCAAATGTCAATTATTCTCTGATGCAAACCTAATCAAAACTTGTGTAACACGATGTTCAAGTTGATTAACAGCAAATTGAATTACAAAATACTAACTAATTCAATTCATACACTATTTATAATTATTTGCTAATTTGAAAATATCAATTTAAAGTTATATAAAACTCAATAAAACAAAACATCAATATTTTTCATTCAATAAGAAATAATAATAATTTCATAAATGAACTTAAAAACTAATAATTTGTACAATCATTTTCAGGTAAAATCATAGTTTTCACTGCTTTCTCTAATTCTTCATTTAGTTGTATTTTTCTTTTGTTAACAAAAGAATCATGTTCTTTCAAGCGATTTAAATCTAGGATGCAGTTTTCTTACGCTTGCTTTTTCTTCTTTAAATTTATATCTTTAAGACATAAAACATAAGTTACTTAGAACAACGCTGCTTTTTCAGTCTTGAAATTGACATTCTCTTTTATAAGTTATAAGAAGACTAGAATTTTAGAATTTGAAGCTAATTATTACACTAGTTTAGATTTAGAACTCATTCATATTTTTGATCAATGAAATCTTTCTTCCAACGTGTAATATTGTACTTATTTTAATTACTTGCATAGTAATTAAGGTTAAAACAAATGCTTAATTAAAATACGAATAATGATTTAATTGCTGTTAATTATTTTTTTTTCTTTTTAATAAAATCCACGTGAACAATAGCGTTTCAATATCAAATAAATATTTATATGAACATTTAACGTTTAGCAATTAAATTGTGAATAATGTGTTGGAAAGGGTCAGATTTGAATGCACAAATGAAAGTGAGAGATTGACGTGTTGTAAATTGGAGAATTTGAAATAAAAATCAAATAATGAAAAGGAAAATATTATATCTAATAAAACTTAATTAGATATAAATTGGTAATTAAGTGCACAATGCTTGATTTAATAAATATTTAAGTATTCTGTGTTATTTGCTGTGTAAATCATTGTTTGAAGTAGTAATAAAATCGTAATTGATGATACTTTTTTTATTGTTGTTTTTCAAATTGTTTGCAATTTGGAAAACTACTTTTCTGAATGAATTTAATATATATATATACACATAGATATAAAAAAAGTGGTTTACAAATAGCGCTAGTTCCGGTAGTTGGTGGAGGTCATATCAAGTTCTCTTAACGGAATTTCCAAAGGCTGCATTAACTGTTCATAAGTTGTTACAAACGGCAGTAGCTGAGATAATTATGATAATATCACGGTTAGTCAAGTGCATTCCAAAAAAAAAACAAACCATCTTCCATCTTAACATAATTTTATTATTTAAAAATATATATATATAGATTATAAATTATTATAGGCCGGTATATGCATTAGCCTCTTGCAGCCTTTAGAAGACACTGAGATTTAGTACACATATAAAAATATAGAGTAAAAAAACAAACTAAATTCGTGTAAGGAAGGACACGTGTATGCAGGAGGATAAATCGATCGTAAAGCGAGGTGGCTTTAAATAGATATTGAATAGGTATTGAGCCAGAAAGAAGATAATGAACAAAATTGCTGTTCATTAATTCCTAATGAATGGATTTCGAATAGATCGATCGAATAGAGAAATGTTTGAAACGATGAAAGGAATTTAGTTTGAAATTTTTTATTGTGTTAAATTTTACCTCGGTTAAACAAAGGGCCGTCCAGAGGTTGATCCAAGCGGTGAAGTAAAACCCACGCAAGACCCACATGTTTCGTAATTTTTGCACTCGACGACTCCATCTACCGAACGGTTTCAACCCTTGAGCATCGTCGGAACACTTTGAAATTCTAAGTTTGTTTGAAAATTTTCAGTTTTCTTTCTTTCTTCTTAATTCATGTTTCGCGCTCGCACCACTCTTTTTTTTACTCTCTCGCCGCTCCTCTGGTCGACTTCTTCGGCGGGTGAACGCTATCTGCGGTGTTCTGCGAAATCATTCCAGAGGCTGCGGATTCGATTACCATTTCCACCGTGCGACCATCGGACCGTGGACTCTGGTAACTTTTTTTTGTTGTTGTTGTTTCTGTCGCTTGTCTATATTCCCAGCTGTTCCACACTGAAATTACCTAATTTGACGAAAAATTACAGCGCATGAAGACACCTCCGCTCGATGTTAACGTACTTAAGTAATCTTCATTTGTGGACAAAGACATGATTCGGATGAGAAATTACTGTCAACGATCATTTAATAGACGTTCGATATTACGTACATGATTATTTATACTAATTTGACCAAATTAAAGTACAAATATCAGTTGGATAGATATGAGAATATAGTACTTTATATGTACTTTATCTAAAACTAGATTTAGAAATTAAAAATAGTCACAAGCTCACTTCATCCATTTGCAAAATGTACGTTTGTGCTAACATAACACACGTTTACAACAATACCTCGCATAGTCCGCGTAATTGGTTATGCCAATAAGTTTGACTGAATTTATAGTCATCTTTATTTAGAATAGAAGACATGATTCGGATGAGAAATTACATTCAACGTTCATTTAATGAATGTTCGATCTTACGTACATCATTAATTATGCTACTCTGGTCGAACTCAGCACATCCTGTATTTGATATCTCTATAAGTTATTATTTATATTTCATCTAAAACTCGATTTAGAAACAAAAAATAATAATGTTACAGTCTGACTGAAATTAAATTGAACTATGTATAACCATACGTTACCTTTTTCCATTTGTGAAGGGTACGTTCATGCGTACATAAAAACACATTTTACAATAATACCTCGCACAGTCCGGATTCTAGGAATTAAATACATTTAAAAATACAAGCAATACACGTTTACTGCATATTCTCGTATAGAGCGGGTAATCGATTTCGCTAATATTCCAGACTGTTTGAAACCGGACTAATCTAGGATTCTAAGAGATTTGAGTACTAATTTTTATTTATCTCACTTAAAATTTAACTTGTTTTGAAATTATTAAACCGGACTATAGTAAATCCGCACTAATCGAGGTATTATATCTAAAACCATAAATTTATAAGTCCGATTAACGTACATTTGTGTTCGCATTATGTACGTTAATTGAGTGCTAACTGTATTACCATTACGATTATTTATGATTTAGATTAGACTTTTTTCATTTACATCGTTCTACTATTTAAAATGTATTACTGTTATGGCAAAAAAAAACACATTTGGAACGGATATCAACAAGGAAGATAACAGTTTTTATTTAATTGCTTTCCTTAATTTCTCGTATCACATAAAATATTAATTTATGATCAATATTTATTCATAATTTACAGATTAACTCGTATATTGCAAATCAATAACGAATAAAAGTTCTGTTAGTCATTCCGCTTTTTTTCATGACTAACATTATGATTCGACGCTGAATCCCAGTTTCTTAAATTTTTATTTAAAAAAACAATAAGTTTTGTTCCATAAATCAATCAACATATAACAAATTCAAGAAAGATAGATTTATTGTCTAAAAATATTTAATTTGTTGTCAGTTTTTGACATTTCTTAGTCATATTTTGACAAATTGATAGTCAATAATTTAAGGTTAAATAGAAATGACATTGGAGCAATATTTTTAAAAAAAATAAATAAACATATAGAAAGTTATAATTTAGATTTAGTTTCATACAAAAAGTGATTTAATTTAAGTTGTAGTTAATTATGTAGATCTTCCATATAATTCAGTTTAATTTAACTGTCAATTTGATAACGTCAATGTCAATAATTGTAGGTCAAATGAAACAAGATTTATTCCAAACTTCAGTAAACTCATCTTATTTTATCTAATTATAAATTAGTTTAAGAGCAAATCTGAAAAGTTTAAGTTGATATATTTTAAAATATAGACTTTGAAACACTTATATTGATATTCAAATGAACTATTTACCTATCAATTTGTGGATTAAATGACTGAAACAAACGGACTAATTGAAACTGGACTAATCGAGTAATTAAATAAACAGCACAAAAAAAACTTGATTTTATAAAGGTAATAAACGGATTAATTATGAACCAAATTATCGTGAATCCGGACTGATTGAGGCCGAAATATGCGAGGTCAATTTCTAAAATAGTAATGTTACTTTCATAGTCGATAATCGCAGTGTTTATTTATAGAAATGAAAAAAGTTCGTCACAATACATGGATGATCGAAAAAGCAAAGTATCGATTTATATATATATTGTAAGAAATTAATGAACGTGCCAATTTCCTTTCGAAGACTCCTACTCACGCCTATTAAGTTTCTCTTTGTGAACGATGGAAAAGCAATCTATGGCGGATTGATGGAAGCACGAAGAGAGAAATAAAAAAAACGGACATGGAAATATACGTTTCGATTGATTTTTCATTGAAGGAAGAACAACAATAACAACTTTCCATTATTGCTTTAGTTTACCATGAAAAACGATCGCGATTGGAAGAAAAAAGGGAAATTACTGATATAAAATCAAGATTTAGTATAGATACGAAATGAAGTTTTAATATAGACTTACAATAAATATTAATGTTAAAATTTATAATTGCAATGTAATTTGACTGTATTAAAAAAAAAATCAATATTGATAAATTAACGTTTAGAAGTTTCAAGTGAACTAAAATCATTAAAAAAATTGTTATTCTACAAATTTTCTTGGAAAGTTTATGAAGCAATTACGGCAAGGTTAAAAGAAAACAAGTGATAGTGACATGTCATACTTGGATTCCAGAAGTTTTGCAAAAAGTATGCAGCAAGTAGAAATATTTGTTTTATGAATTATTTCATAAAAAAATTAATATATCAAATTAATTAGTATAGAAATGTCTTAATGTAGTTACGAAAAAGAATCAATTTTTTTTTTTGCTTAACATAATAACTTTATTTCTGGTAATCTACTCCCATATCTCAAACAAACAACAATCGATTCGTCATTATTTGATTATTTTCCAATAACTATGATTACCACCAATTGATATTGAATCTAAAATTAATAATTTAAGAACAAACTAATTTCAGTATTCGAGAGCTTCACTTTTAAAGTGTTTATCAACTTTAATCATAGTGTAGTTCAGTCATGGGAAATCTTTTATATAAGTAGGCCAAAAAATTGGATTTTTTTTTCATATTCAATGTTTTTCTTTTGAATGAGCCAAAATTGAGATATTTAAGAGTTTGCGATTCAATAAAATTAAATTTATACGTATAGCATACTAATGTGTCACATATGAAAACTAATAGCAAGTTAATAATATGTGTTTTCTTACCATAAATGGACTTAAGCCACTTTCAAAATAAACCGCTCAAATATTGAAAGTGAACATTTCTATACTATTGTTTTAAAATCTGCAGCGGGCCAGTTAGAACCTATAGGCGGACCACATCTGGCCCACGGGCCATTGTTAGCACTTTATTAATATATTCAGGTCTATATCGCAAGCCCGACAACCGAAAGACCGTCTATTGAATTCCCGACGTTCGAAATCCCGACTATATTAAAATCCCGACAACCATAATCCCGACTGTATCAAAATCCCGACTATATCGAAAATGTTTACTATATTTAGAAACTAAAAATAATAATGTTACAGTCTGATTGAAATTAAATTGAACTATGTATAACCATACGTTACCTTTTTCCATTTGTGAAGAGTACGTTGGTGCGAACATAAAAACACATTTACAACAATACCTCGCATAATCCGGGTTATAGAAATTAAATACATTTAAAAATACAAGCAATACACGTTTACTGCATTACCTCGTATAGAGCGGGTAATCAATTTCGCTTGCTTTCGACATCCCGACTATATCAAAATCTCGACAACCATAATCCCAACTGTATCAGAATCTCGACAACCATAATCCCGACAAACATAATCCCGACTATATCAAAATCTCGACAACCATAATCCAAACTGTATCAAAATCTCGACAACCATAATCCAAACAAACATAATCCCGACTATATCAAAATCCCGACTGTATCAAAATCCCGACGATATCGAAAATTTTTACAATAACATTATTTCGGAGCGTAGTCACCTTGAGCTACACATTTATTATTTATAACAATAAATTATTATTAATTTATTTGATTTTGTTCACTTATTCATAATAAACCTTAACATTATAAAATAATCTCAAATACAATTAGATTATTAATTGTTATTATTTATTATTAATAACAATTTAAAAATGTTATAGTAAACATTTTCGTTATTGTCGAGATTTTGATACAGTCGGGATTATGGTTATCGGGATTTTAATATAGTCGGGATTTCGATACAGTCGGGATTTTGGTTGTCGGGAATTTGATTGACGATATTTCGGTTGTCGGGCTTGCGATTGCCACCGAATATTTTCAACATTACTTAAAATATATTTTTAAAAAGTCTCATAACTGCGAAAAGCATTATTTTACAGATATTAATATAATTACAACTTCCACATTACTTTTAGCTTCTAATTAAAATTTAGCAAACTAATTTATTAATAAAATAATGACTAATAAACAATATTTTAACTAAACTCTCGGCGGGTTAATAAATTTCCAAACTTTTGGGAATAAAACGTGAAATTAACTAATGAAATTATACATTAGTCTGTATTTTTTTTATTAAATACCATTAACGTAATAATCTTGGCAAAAATATACATTTTTTTGTTTGTTATTGTTTTGTGGTATTGACTGAGTATTTTCAGGTCGTTGTTTTTATTTTGGCCATCAATCAGACGATGATTATCAACTAGTAACATTGTTCGTCACGTCACTAGATTATCACGAATAATGGATCATAAAAACCGACATTAACTTACATTTCACGAGACAATAAAGTATCAGAT